CACACACATTAGAGCCTTTAGTATCCCTACAAACACACACTACAGCCCCAATGTCTCCCAGACTACTCTCACAGCACCCAGACTACTTCAATTAGCTGAAGTGGTCTGGGTGCCTACAGTGTCCCTTGAAATGTAAATCTGGCCCTGTTTGGACGCCCTGCTGGTGTGGGAGTCATGACTGTGTAGCAGCGTGCACGTTATATCTGTGTGAGAGCGCACAAAGACCTAGCACCAGGAGGGGGCCCTTGATCCCCTGTTGCCCGGGGGCCCTGCGAGTTGTCAGTCTGCCCCTGGTTATGGTGCTTAGAGTCTTCCTTTAATACAGGACTATCCCGAAATTGTGGATTAATCAATATTATGTTAACTATTCCCTACATTAATTTATTTTACATTTGCTTCTGCTGCAAATGTCAGTGCTTCGATAAATTTTACTGAGGTATGTAAAAAAGGAACTTTAACCAAAAAAAGGAAACAGTTCCTGTTGCAAGTCCTTGTGCTTTAGGTATTGAGCTTGTGCTATGATCAAAGCATATGCTAAATTTGAGCATGGTTACAGGAACTGGGGGGTGTGGTGAGTTGTGGATAAATCCCCTAGAAAATCTAGTTTCACTTTTAAGATTCTATGCTTCACTTTTAAACGAACACTATTGAAAAAAACCAACATTTAAACAATTAGTATATATCCTCTTAAAAAAAACATGTATTTTGGCTGCATTTTTTTTTTGTATATGAAAAATAGCCTGTAAAAAAGCTGCAGATCTGCTGTCTGCAACCTTTGCAGGCCCTCTCCTATTTCCTTGACACAGACATTCAGTCTGCGGGGAATATACCAATCAGAGGCAAACACGCTCTAGCTTAGCATGAGTGCTAATTCTGATAGCTATGTGGCGCTAAAGGAAGCAGAAGAAAATTTCACTGTCTGCAAGAGTGACAACAAGGGAGGTGTTTCTCTCCCCAAATATAAAAGTGCAGATTTCAATTGAAATTTGCAATTTTATAAACTGTCACAAATATGAGAGACACCAGATAACTACTGGGAAGCACTTAAGCAAGCTGAAGTGCTTTATGTGTCTAGAATGTTCCTTTAAAAAGGTTAAAAAAAAATTGGATAGGTGTGGTGTGACTGCAAATCACAATGGCCGTACAAGAGAGAACCTTTTGCCCAGATTCACCGATATGAGCACCTGCAAATGGCACAAAGCAACACGAAGCCCATAATATAGCACCTACTACCAACACCCCAAAAAGACCAAGGACAGCAGTAACAGAGTGGTGGAGATATTAGCCACCTCGTGCTCTGCACAACAACCCTTTCAAAATGGTGCCTGCTCCAGCCCACATGCACCTCTGTCCCCCACATCAACGAAAAAAGGGTAAGTGCTGTACAAACAGCAAGGGGACAGGGCCAAGCATTACACAAACTGGCAAAAATTAAATTGGCCAAAGAGATTCTATGCAGCTCCATTAAGGTCAAAGCAGAAATTCAGATCCTAAAGAACCACACAGTGTCAGGATTACTAGTTGATCCAGCACGCAGAAATAATATCACACCTAGGATTAAGGAAAACTTCTAACCGGACCTTAGAATGGCCAGACTTAACATACCCAAGAATAGTCAAAATACTTGCCGAGGTCAGGGATACAGAATGAGACACAACGATGAGGGAAAGCCAAAAGTCAAGGATACCAGAAATCAGGGAAGTCAAAATGAAGCCAAAGTCAAAAACCAGAATAATACGATCAGGAACACACTCTCGGATAACCAGCAAAGGGAAACCACGACAGAGCACTGATCAAAAGGCAATTTGGGTTTAAATAACCCTCCTTAAGCTGTAATTGGCTGAATGTGGCCTCTGACCCCAAAACGTGCGTGCACGTCGCACACACATAAGCGCCATCTTTAATGTGGGCAAAGGCTATATCCCAACAGCCGGCGTCTCTAGGAACGGCGCACACGCTGGGCACCGGGACGGAAGGTCGGGTGGTGGTCTGCCGCGAGCAAGGTAAGTATCTATTATTTCTGTCGGCGTGACCGCTGTGTTTCTGTGCGGCCATGCTGACAGAATCCCGCGGAATCGTGACACACAGCAGCATTAGAACAGCGGGTGGAAATAGTTGTACAGGCCCATAAAGGGCTAGTAGAACACTTCAACTCCTTGACTGCCCAGCTGGAGCTTATGGAACCGACCATGGAAGATCTCTCCAACTGGTCAAGGCGCAGTAACAGGACGTCTATGGGGTTCTTAGATGAGTATAACCCTTAAGATTTCAGATCCAACACCCATTAAGGGAAGCACATCCAATATGCTATTCCTTCTTGTAATCAAACTTAATTATCTCATCCAACCCAATGCTTTACTATTGGAAAGCATTGGGAGGCTATTCTGCATGCGCAGCAAAATGCAGTGCTGTGACAACCAGTATCTCCTCGTAGAGATGCATTAAATCAATGCGTCTCTAAGGGAAACGTTCAGCGTGTCCATGCACAGCATAGAGACGCTGAATACCAGTGCTTCATATCTCTAGAGCAGTGGTGGCGAACCTATGGCACGCGTGCCACAGGTGGCACGCCGCGCCACCTCTGTGGGCACGCGGCCATAGGTCGCCGTGCGCTCCGCCGGCGCATCCATAAGGCGGCACAAGTGGCCGCCTTAGGGCGCACCGGCCCGGCGGGCGCAAAGCCGGAGTGACCGGCAGGAGGTGAGTGCATAGCGCAGAGCGCTCCCTCCTGCCAGGCGCTCTGTGTAGCGTGGCCGAGCGCACCACGGTACAGGAACTTATGTTTCCTGTACCCGGGCGGACGGAAATGAAGTGCTCACAGAGAGAGCACTTCCTGTCCGCCGGGTACAGGAAACTGAGCTCCGCGGCGCTCGGCCACGCTACAAGGTAGGAGACTGAGGGAGAGGAGGAGGGGGGGGAGACTGAGGGAGAGGAGACTGAGGGGGGGAGGAGGAGACGGGGGAGGAGACTGAGGGAGAGATGGGGGGAGGAGACTGAGGGAGAGATGGGGGGAGGAGACTGAGGGAGAGATGGGGGAAGGAGACTGAGGGAGAGATGGGGAAGGAGACTGGGGAAGGAGACTGAGGGAGAGATGGGGAAGGAGACTGAGGGAGAGATGGGGGAGACTGAGGATGGGGAGGAAGGAGACTGAGGAGAGATGGGGAAGGAGACTGAGGGAGAGATGGGGGGAAGGAGACTGAGGATGTGGGGAAGGAGACTGAGGGACGGGGAAAGGAGACTGAGGGAGGGGAGGAGACTGAGGGAGAGATGGGGGAGGGAGAAGGAGACTGAGGGAGAGATGGGGGAGGGAGAAGGAGACTGAGGGAGAGATGGGGGGGAAGGAGACTGAGGGAGAGATGGGGGGAGAAAACTGAGTGTGGGATGGGAGAAAAAAAATGAGGGAGGGATGGGGGGAAAGAAAACAGGGGGGGGAGAGGGGGGACGACATACACACAGCACCCCTGCCCTACACATATCACCCCACAAAAAGACACACACACACACCACCCCCCCACACACAAACACACCACCCCACACACAAACACCCCACCCACACACATCACTCCACCCACAAACACATACACTGTACCCCTCAATGCAATGTGTGTACACTCAGCAGTCTGTCTGTGTGTGTACACTCAGCAGTCTGTACACTCAGCAGTCTGTCTGTGTGTGTATTTAGCAGTCTGTGTGTGTATTCAGCAGACTGTGTACTCAGCAGTCTGCTAAATACAGACAGACTGCTAAGTACACAGACAGACTGCTAAATACACATACAGACAGACTGCCGAGCACACACACAAACTGCTCAATACACACACAGAGATGTTAATTAGTTCGGACAACTGTATGTTTTTTCTAAACTTAAACCTCAGTATTCAGGTTTAAATGCCGTTTTGGCACTTTGAGGGGGAAAAATTGGCATGTATTACGGTTTGGGCACTCGGGCTCAAAAAGGTTCGCCATCACTGCTCTAGAGGAAGTAGTTTGGCACTTTCGCATGGGGTGGTGTTGCTCAGGGGCGATTTCAATGCGGTGCTGTGTGTCCTGCGCTGAACAGAAGCCATAGGCCTGGTATGGTCCAATCTAGTGGGATGGGAGGGCAAGACGACCTTGTACACAGGTCTGCTGGTAAATGGAGGATGCAACTCCCTGATTCCATCTACTCCACATGTTCTTAGCTAGACTAATTTCTGATTAATTAACTTTTTATGACTAAGGTGGAAGAGATGAAAATGAATAACATCACATGGTCAGACCATGTGGACATTCATTTAACGCTTAAAATCAAGAGAGGAATTGTCTTACATAGGGGTGCACGGATAGATATGACTTTATTCGATCACAATGAATATATTGCCAAGAATACTATTCCTCTTTCATTCTCTCCCAGTAAGTGCTACCCGACGTGACTTGGCTTAGTATATAAGAACTCGTCTTAACCTTAAAATGCAGATTTTTCTGTACTATAATAAATGCAAATAAATATTAAGCGTTTGATATCCAATTCTACGGAGTTAAATAAACTAAGTGGTTTAATGTAAGTGGGGCTAGGATTACTATGCAAGGCTACCCAACCAGAATTTATTTGGTTCCTGTGAGCCCGGTTTCCGAGGTCGCAGTATACTCCTGCTGTAACCCAGTTGATTGCATATTATCTCAATGTAAACTGAAATAAAAACAAATAACTTTTCGTTTTGGGCACGTTTGAACCGTGTACAGTGCAAGAACCGTGCTGGTATTGGCCTATCGAGCTATTTGTACAGTTTGTGCTTCAGAACACACCAAGCGGAACATAGAACCTTCGCTCTCACACAGCGGCATGAGGGAAGTGGAACGCACAGAGCACCAGAATGACATGCAAGGTCAGCCAATCGTCGACTGAAAGGAAACGTCCCGCAGCCAATCAATAACCAGAAGGAAGTAATCCGAACCAATCGAGAACACGGTGGAAGTAAAATTAGCCAATTGCATGTTAAAATAATGCCATTCCATCCAATGAGCGCGCCATTGGGTGGGTGTTTGTCGGGCGGTGTCCAAGTCCAGAGAGTTGGTTATACTCCCGGTGTAAGGAGTCGAGGCCCCCCGGGGACAGGTGAGGGAACAAGGGTTAAAGAAACGAGAAAACATGGGAATCGGAGTGTAAATGAATGACTGTATGGGGAAGATGCCAGATGTTACAATAGGAAGGATACTTAAAAATAACAAACAACTAGTTAAACCCTAATGTAAGCTCAGTGTTTATGCAGCAGAACTGATATGTGACTAATGAATACTTAGCCTTGCACTATATTACACACTGAGAGGATTTGTAAGTTCTTTGGATGTTGTTAATCTTTATTTCAGTTGTGCTGAGAGTGAATGAAATAAAACTCTTGCCAATGAGAAGTAAGGGTAACAATGTATTAAGAGCTGAACTAGTTATTAAAGGGTTACTCCAAGCACCATGACCACCATAGTGAATTGAAGTGGTCATGGTGTCTTGAGTGTGTGTGTGTGTGTGTGTGTGTGTGTAAATATATATAGAGCATTTCAGTATGCAACATAAAGAGTTAACCATATTTGCTGCCAGTGGTGTAACTCATTGGGGTGATATTAGACTTGGCAAATAGTTTTGGACTGGCTAATGTCAACTATGTGCAAACTTTCAGCTGACACTCTCATCGAATGGTGACTAGATTGGTTGTAAGTACCCCTATCACAGGGGAAGGTAGCATTGGAGCCTGTGGGGACCCAGACAGGAGGACACACCCTTAATAACTATTTTGCCCTATTAGCTGGCATGTGTACTAGGGTACTCATGCTGCGGTGTTCATGATGCTTGTAGAAACCCTTTAATTGCATTTATTGTATACTTAGGAATAAAACACAGGAGTTTATTCACTTAACACTGAGTTATAGTGCGTTGAAATCCAAATTAAAAGTAGAGGCTACTGAAGCATTGATTGCCAGAAATAAAAAAGTTTAGGCATATATTAGTGTTTGTGGCTTAGCTTTTATTTCCTAAAAGTTCCAATTTTCTTTATATTCTAACAAATTATACTTGATTGAATAATTCACTAAATTCTTAACGTTTTGCCAAGTTTTACCAACTTCTGGCTTGTACATAAGACTAAGTAGTATCTTGACTTCATTATCATCATTTTAATGAAATTTCAACACACCCATTATGAATATTTTTTTCAAGGTAATATGTTTTATATACATCCTTAAAATCATGGATAACCATTGCTTTTCTCTAGCTGGTGATATATTTTGAAAACATTCCTATTTTAATATGCATTGAGACTGTTTATGCCCACAAACCTAGTCAATGGTCAGTTTCTTAAAATTTAATTTTATAAAATACAAATGAAAACCTTTTATACCCTGCTTAGATTGACATGTAATGGGTAAGGATATATGTGTGTATTAAACTTGTAAATTTTAGGAATACAGTACACTGTTTACATTGTGTGAATTTGCTCAGTGGCTCATAAAACAGTTTAAGCAAGGGGTAGGCAACCTTTTAGTAGTACTGTGCCAAAACAAGATCTTGAAGTCTCTTGGCGTGTCGATCCTGACTTTTTAAATTGAGGTGTGTTTGTGTTTGTTGCCGTATTGTTCTTGTGCTACTTATAGGTGCTGCGGTTGATTTGTAATGTTGTATTTGTGTGTATGTGGGCTGTTACATGTGTATGTTCATGAGAAGCTTGTGGTATTGTATATGATGCCTAGGAATTTGCACTGTATATTGGGACTGCTTGTGGAATTGCGTGTGAGAGGCTGTCTGTGGGGTTGTGTGAGTGTATGTGGTTTGTCAATGGTGTTTGTGGGCACTGTGTGTGCATTTGTGTATGGTCTGTTTTTATTATTTGTATAAGGAAGAGGCTTCTTCTGAAGCTCTTTTGGACCGGGCTGTACAGTTACTGGTCAAGGGAGGAGCTAAGATGGAGAAGCTGTGATAACTGCTGTGGACTACTCTACTCCAGAGCAGATTTCCATTCACAAGAGCTTGGAGGAAATGATATGAGATTGCTGCAATGTATAGATTGAGTATTGTCCCTCACTACCTGCAATCACAGGTCAGGTTGCACTAGCACTATCTGAAGTCCCAGACCAGAACCTGTTTGTATCTGGCAGCCTTGAGTGCCGTTCAAAGGCACCTCGAGTGCCATGCATGGCACATGTGCCTTAGGTTGCTGACCCTTGGTTTAAGCTATTGCTTTGTGTATATAATTGTTTTTCGAAGTTAGCATCTTATATCAGCAAACCTAACCACAGACTGGTCATGTGGGGTATTCACAAAGTTTATATGGAAGAATAGATTACTTAGATTAGAGTATTACTCCAAGTACCGTGACCACTTCAGTGACTTGAAGTGGACAAGGTGTTTGGTTTCTGACATTGCCAGAGGCAGAACTGGAGGCTGCAGGTTAGGCGTTCCAGTGCTGGAAAGGAGGTGAGCAATCAATAAGTTGTTTCATTTTTTTTTTTTAAAGCCATATGGGTGGACCGAGAGAAACCTATAGTCCCAAAATAAAGATTATTTTTAGGAATATAGGTTCCCTTTAAAACACTGTTTTTGGTTGGCTTACCCTCTAAATATTGTGTGCAAGGTTTTTTTTCTCCCCATAAAATATATATTTATGCATGTATTTATCATCATACTATTTTATACACGTAATAAACATTCCACAGAGCTTTGCAATGGTAAATTATACATATTAGTGGCTATGACAAAACAAGTTGAACCAATTGGAATGCGAGGTAGTGATTATCCTGCTCCTTATTTGCATATTCTGTGTGTGAATAGTTTAATAAGTACATATATTAAATTGACAAGGTTTCCTGTGCCAGTGCTGCACGTCTGGTTTACGTAATCAAAATACCTGACCAGTGCTCTTTACTATATTAAACTGAATGCCAAAGTCATTGTGCTACTGCCCTAGAAAGAGATGAGTCTCCTGTTAACCAAAGCTAACTTGGATTAGATATTATTGGCTTACATAGGGATTTAATATTAAAAAGGTTGACATCAAAAAGCATTATTATAGGGACAATAAAACCAAAGATATTACAAAATAAAATCTATAAAAAATAATATAGAAACATGTAGATGCCGCCACTTCCAAAAATCGATGGTGCTGTCAGTAATAACAAACAAAAGATCATATTGAAGGGCACAAAAGTAAAAGATAGTTGATAGGTTGAAAATATATTCTTGTAGTATAAAATTAGCAACGCATTTATAAGCGGTGAATGCTTATTAATGCAGGTATACGGCTATCACTGGAAAACATGCAATACAGTAATCCGACCGTTAAAACACCTTAGTGTTGAAAATCCACAAATAAAAATTAAGTCCAAATGGACACTTGGGGCATAATAGTTTAAACACCAGTGCAGATCAAATGTAGAGTACCTCAAGTGCAAATCACCCTATAGCTTGGCCCAAACTTCTGAATTGGCAGATCACGTGAGCAGCGGCAAACACATGACCGCAAGTAGTAATATAGGTTGTAATATAAAACATGACGTCCCAGGAGAGTCTTTGTCAGGGATTCAAAATCCAACAGATACAAGTGCCGTATGTTCACTAATACAGTCTACTCACTTTGTTCATCAATGCCGTGATCTTTGTCAAGACACCATTATTGACCCTTGCCTGATCACTTCTGAAGCTGTTCATAGTGACAAGCGTTACCGGTCATCAATCAGCTAGTTTTACAGCTAGTCAAGGTAGGGTTATGGCTATCCATGGTTAGCTAGTGCTATGGCTAGTAAGATTTAGTTAGGGTTACAGCTAGTAATGCTTTGGGTTCGGTAGTGTTAGCTAAGGTTAAACATAACAGTCAAACTTTGTCACTAATTAGTATAGTGACACAGAGTATCACTTCCTCAAACTTCTCTGGAAAGCAAAGAGTCACATCATCTCATGTCTAATTTGACCCTATATGTTTTGCTCTGTAGATAAAGCAGAATATCTGGGGATTTTTTAACTATTTAACTAGTAGGACACACAAGGCCTAAGATATTTATCATTAAAATACTATATCTATGTTCCCAGAAATTGGTGATAAAATGGCATAGTACTAAGGCTGTCTTTAAATAGCCTAAAGGGAAACTATAGTGCTAGGAATCCAAAGTTGTCTTAAGGGGACAGGGGCACTGTACCCGGACAATTTCAATGAGATGAACTGGTCTGGGTGCCTATAGTGTCCCTTTAGTTGTCTACTTTGCAAACGATATAACAGAGAAGACCTGGGTAGAATATTTATCTTTCAATTCTCACATTAGTGGATAACCCTATAAGGGTTTGTTTGGCAGCTGGAAGGGTTTTCTTCCTCACACAATTTGAAGTGTAGTACAAAGATTAAGTGCTTCCTAGAGGGAAACATTGGTACAGATCATGGTGAATGTGGTGTATACAATGTGTCTCCATGCTTCTCTATGAGAAGCATTTAGTTGGACATTTGTGATGATGATTTGACAGGAAGCAGTTCTGAGTTGCAGTGCTAACACTCTCCAGTCCCAGAATGAAGGTTAGTTTACGTGTATATTTCAAGATGTTAAAAAAATAAAATAAAAAAAGGTATGGTAAGCCCTAGTCTGCATCACAAAATAACTTGATGAGATTCAGTAATTCAGGAGTTCTGGAGAAGTGACACATAAACTAGAAAATTAAATCATAATTTTGTTTTTGTTCATTTTTTTTTTTTTTTTTTTTTACTCAGAATTGCAATGTTGGCCTAAAACTGCAATATTCTCAATTTAGTGAATACTAAAGAGTGTGTTTTAGAGAAGGTAATAATATATAACCTGGGATTTTTTTTTTAAACACAGACCGAACACTAATGGATGAATGAAAACCACCCCAATTAATCAAATGACAGATTATTGACCTGCTCTTCTAGTACTCTTTATGTCATAGGTGCTGGGAATCTTGCAGTTGCTGTAGTGTATATAGTATGAAATATTTCTTCTTTTAGCTTACACTTGATATAGAGAAATGTCCTGGTTTGCAAATCTAGCTGTTCACTGCAGACATAGGCATTTTCTAAACGGCTAAGTTCAGGCAGACAGAGAAAGATTCATGACCTGAAGCAAAAATTCTTTAGTGTACAAGTCAGGCATTTGATCTGTGGAGTTAGTACTTTAATGTATACATTTAGACCAAATACTCCTCTGAGGGTACAAAACAAAAAAATCCTATATGGTATCAATGCAATCAATAATGTCCTGTATTTAACAATTTTCACAAGTGTTCAGATATTTGTAAGCTAATGAGAGAGTACTACTAAACCTTTACAACCCGTCATAGGTTTTTGTGTAGGTTACATAGACGTCTGGCTCATAAATGCTTCAATACCATTTTTAAATCTTCGTGTATAAAGGTGGATTTCTATTTTATACACCCTTTTATCACTATCTTATACTCCCATATCTCAACCTTAAAAAAAAAATAAAAATAAAAAAATACTTCATTCCTTTTCTTATGTGGGTGCTACACCATCCCTATTTTTCACATTTTCATTTCAGTTTCATGTATTAGTAGTTTTCTCATTTCATATTGCATAGTTACATAGGCTTAAAAAAAGTCCATCAAGTTCAACTTTTCCAACATCTGTTTCTACTGTTGATCTAAAAAAATCCAGTTTGAAGTGCTATCGAATTTTAATACAAACTAGGAATAAATTATTTCTCAACCCCAAAATAGCAGTCTGATCTCTCCTTGGCTCAAGCAGCTGTTACCCTACATATTTAATTTTCAGTCACTGAATATTATTTTTTTTGCAAGAATTTATCCATTTGTTTTAAAAATAAACCGGTATAGACTCTGATAAAACCACATACTCGGATGAAAGTACCACATTTTTATTGTTCTTACTGTAAAGCAGGACTTGACAAATCCCAGACGCAAGGTCTCTGTCTCTCTGAAATGAACTGTAATTACTTCCTCCAGAGCATATAGGGGACACTTTAGTGTCCATTTGAGTGACTGCCACTCCTAAGTGGACTTTTTTTTTTTTTTTTTTTTCCTAAACTTAACAGATTTAAATTTGATCACATTTCTTAAAAATCTTCCATTCTTCCTATTAATTTTGTAGCCTGTCTCAGCCTTTTCTAGTGTTCTAAGATCCTTCCTTAGGACATGTGTCAAAATTTGCACAACATATTCAATGTATGGTTTTACCATGGATTTATAAAGAGGCAAAATGATGTGCCCCTTTTATACATGACAATACCTTACTTACCTTGCTGATTGACACTGAATTTGTTTAGTTTGTTTATAACTATTCTAAAATCCTTCTCATGTGTTGCATGAGTGTAACTCACTACCATTTACAATGGAAAAGTCAAGACACTTTTTTTTAGCCCGGAGGAACCACACTTTTTAATTTCTTGGTGGAGAAGAAACCACCTACGCTACACAGGATTGAGCAAAAACCTATTTTTTTTTCTCTCCTTATGTGAGGTATACCAACTTTTATTTTGACTTTACAACAACCAAACAGAGAACACAGTTTATTTTTTTTTTATTCTCATTTTATGTAATTGGTGAATATCAGTGACACTGCAATTTAGAGGGAAATACCCGTGAACGCTTGACACTTGAAGTGTCCCTTGATCCTGACCTACCATCTAAAAGGAACCAAGCTGAGCGACATATCCACAGACGGGGATCATACCGCCCAGACGCATATATCTGGATCTGAACATTTTGTAAGTGGCATTTCTTATTTTACCTCGCCACCTATAGAATATACTACACTATAGTCTATATTCTGTCTTCATATTTTCCATACTTACTCACCACCATCAGGACACCCAGAAGGCGCTGCTACCCTGCACCCTTTCTTGACCTATACCTAGTTACGGTCAGATAGAAGAGACTCTGGTTTCGGAAATACCAGCTGCCATTCTCGGATCTAAAAAGCGCTAGTAACCTTACCATCGCACATACTAAAAATCGCATGACCAATGCATTGAAATTAGTGCTGGACAACTAGCAAAGCCCCAGCACCTATCCAAATGGCATTGTGGCATGGTGAGTAACACTCCATGGTTTGGTCATACCCTTGGGATGTCTCGAGCACCAGTTTCAATGGTTGCATTGGATCCCTTTAGATCCACAGTGGTTGATTTGGATCCCTTCATTGGCAGTGTTCTCAATAGAATTAAAATGCTGTATGCGGTGCTGACTTTCAGCACTGCGTGCAGCTCATCAAAAGGTCTGGGGCAACCAATTGTAATCTCAGCTAACCGAGGGGAAACACAGATATCAAATGATACCTGAGGTTACCAGCAGAGAATTATTCTGTCATAGGCCATTGAGAGAAGGGCAACCTTCAGAATTATTTTGAATTACAGAATTATTTTGTCATGCATCCTTAAAGGGTTGATATATTTGCAATACTATCAAAGGTTTCTTCTCGCCGCCGCTCCTCCCAGTCATTACGCGCATGCGCATTAGAGCATTGCTTTCCTATGGGGAATTAAGAGACGCTGGAGGTCCTCACATAGCGTGAGGACGTCCAGCGACGCTCTAGCAGGAAGTGGCTTTCTAGTAGACAGCCACAAGAGGTGGCGTTAACCATGCAAGGTAATTATACCCTGCAAATTACACTTGCAGGGTTAAGGCTAGTGGGAGTTTGCACCTAGACCACTCCAATGGGCAGAAGCGGTCTGGGTGCCTGGAGTGTCCCTTTTAATGTGGGGGGAAAAACCTTTTAAACCGTTGCAATATTAAAATGTGAAAGAGAAAAAGGAATGCAATTTATAGACAATAGTGGACCTATTACCACACACGGTTATTCAGCTGCTTTTAAATGTGGTGTGAAGCTAATGGCTAAATCCTCATAAAAATATGTTCATTTTGTACAACACCATTAGCATGTCATGTAATCCCAAAGAATTCCAGTATATAAGAATCTTGTGTTAACGTGTGTGTCAGTGTTTGCCTTTATTTTTCTTACATGATGGCATTTTTATTTGCTGGAATTTGTCTGCATCAGTCACCATGCCTATCAAAGGCATTGCCACACACTGCCCCTGATCCACACAGAGCAAGAAGGCAAAATATAACGACTGCTGCAAATGATGATTGTGTTTACCGTGGCATTATTGTTGCACAGATATGCATTGACGCAGGCGAAAAACACTGTCAAAATATACCCCTTACTAATTCGGTGTGGCAGGGTTCGGGGCAGCTGAAAACAGGCCACTGTGCCTGGAACTTATCATGGCATTCTTTGTTAAATAGAAATTAACAGGGCGTATTGGTACATCTAGCTGCAGGTCACAGGTGAGATACATTTGCAGAAGGCCAAATGTTTGACTCATTTACTATAGAACTTTTAGAGAAGCAACAAGGGGTGGTTTATTTATTTATTTTTACTCTGTAGCAGCATGTATTCGTGAAAAGTAGAGAAAGCAAAGCTGACCCAGTATGTCATAGATGATTCTTGGATAATATAGCTGTTTTTTTTAAGAATGTTAAATTGCAAAATCTAGCCTAAAACAGATACTTGCAATGTCCTTTATTATAGCACTATACTTGTGGTTCCAAATTGTGTGACCGTTCAATGAAGAATAGTGGACAATTGTGGGGGTATTGTATGTAACCTGTAAATCTTCTTCTGAATACATTCAGAATTAGAGTGAACATTGTATACCATGTAATATGTATGATTATTTACATTGTTTTGCCTGTAATATGCATTTATAATCACTACTACCCTGATTTATAAATTGTCACATTATTCTAAGGCACTCTACAGTGGCTATATAGTGTTCAGCACTAACCATATTGAATACAGAACAGGTTAAGCAAAGAATATGAATCCTTTGAACAGACACATTGTATAGAGTAAAGAGGAATTTAGACCTCATTTGCTACAAGTCCAGAATAACAAGATGAGTCATGAATCCTGTAGTGTCAAGACAATCTTGAAATATTGAGAATTGATTATTTTGTACTTGTGGAGATTTGGGAGTAAACCTGGAACGCAGTTTGTGAGTGTGTATGTTGAAAGGTAAGGGTAGTGTGTGCCCGCGCGAGCATAGAGGAGAAAAACTGTACTTCGGTTCAATTTATTGTGCTAGTGTACACACAGCTGGATAATCCACATCAACTGAGCCAACATGGTTTTATACACACAGAAAAATGCAGGGTCGTTAAGCTTAGACTGTAGTTCAGAGAGAAAATGTTTCCTTCATAGTTTACAGTGAAATGCAGTTATGGTTGCCAAGATCATGGACTCATGATTTGGTGCCACATGATATGCGTTGAGGAAGTGACCAGATGTGATGCACAATGTGGCCTTGGCTCCAGAGGAACTGGGAGGCGGGTGGAGAGATTTTGGTTGTTTAGGGAGGGGTTGCTGAGAACACATTTTCTTGCTTTTCTCTCTCCAGCTAGGGATTGCAAACTGCAATGTACAATGTCAGATTCTTCTTTCTTTCTAAAATTACACAGGTGCTGTCATATTGCAATTACCGATCTCTCTGTCTTGAGTCTCCTATGTTCTTTACATCACCTATCTGAATATTCAAATTATTGATTTAATTACACATAGTATTATGTATACACACCTGTGACTTTTTGTGTGTTTAATATTTAGTACACATACATATAGGATTGCATCGTAGAAGGAGGGAGGTGCAGAGTTTGCCTGGAGTTACTGACAACCCTTGGTGATGAAGGGGTTACAGCTGCAGTATCTAACTGCAGGCTTTGAGCTGTAACCAATGAAATGTGGAGAAGGGGTGTGCCAGCCTCTCACACCTGGCTCTCTTGGCAGCTCTCTGTCCCTTTACTAATCCCTCCAGGGCCTGCAGCCTCCTGCCTGCTTGATCAGGCCAGCACTAGCCTCTGTTGTGGGAGGAAATAGATTTGGAATTCTATGACTGAACGCCTGTGCATATGTGAATTGGAAAAAAAAAAATATATATATAAAAAAATATATATATATAAATATGGCAGAAAGAATGGCAAATAGGTCATGTTCTGTTCAATGTAAATAATGTTGACTCTGAGCATGATTCAAACCTTTTGAAGTAAAGATTCCCTAAATAAAATTTTATCCGCATAAGCCATCTTCTGCTTGTATGTGGATGACTTTCATTCTAATGTATGTATCACAGAGGTGATCTGCCAAGCCCTGAGGCTGCTCCACATATCGTGTGGGTAGTTTTACCTATACTGGTATGATTTATAGTCATCAAGATGTCTGAGGTCTTTCTAAAGTTATGAAGTAGAAAGCCGCACTCATTGTGTTTATATTTGAGACATGAAAAGTTCTTCCACTAAAGAGCCGGCCACCTATGTGAGAGTTTCATGTACACAGATTTAATGAATAAAAGATGCCTTTTGATTATTGGTAATCAATACATTTACAGGGTTTAACCCCTTAAGGACACAGGACATGTGTGAAATGTCATGATTCCCTTTTATTCCAGAAGTTTGGCCCTTAAGGGGTTAAACTTAAAATTCACTTTTAATTATCACTTTGTTGAATCACCATGTATGAATTAGTATATATCCGTTTGAAGAACACTGGATTAGGTGAATTTTGTTTTAAGCTTCATAGGGGAATATTTGTAATTGATATTTAATGGTTTTCTTAAAGGGTTTCTCTTTTTTTTTTTTTTTTTTCAATTTTTTTTTTAATCTAGAATGTCCTATTTGACATTACTCGGTTCCCCCAATAAAAACCTGCAAAATAAAGCCGTAACTTATCTGAAATCCAGGTCTAGGCAAAGCTCCCTGTTTTGTCTACTTGTCCAATAACGCTATTGCCCTCATGAAGTCCAATCATGCTTAAAAAAAAATAAAGGTTTTACCGCACTCAAATAAGGCTTGAAATGCTTAAATGAGAATAAAATTTTTTTTTATTAATTCATTGGTTAAAATCCTAAATCACGTTATTAAAAAAAAAAAAAGGGAACACAAATAGGCATCACACCCATCGTTATACATAACACTATATAGTTCCAATGGTGAAATGAAATTCATATACCAAAACCTCCCTCTATTACTCCTATCCAAGACAAAAAATTGATAGATATAACCATGGTTCCCAAACTTTTTTTTTTTTTTTTTTGAAGTTCAAGGTGCCCTTAATATTTCTATGTTGCATATCTGTACAGCGCTGCGGCATTTACTGGCGCTATAGTGTAATGTAGTGTTGGTGTTTGAAGGGGTGCTTGCATATAGTTATTGTGTTTGTATGTGATGTTTGATTGCAGGGGTGTGTCTAAATGATGTAATGTTCACTTTTAAATGTGGATGTACATTTGTGTGATGTGTTTGAGTGAAGTGGTGTATTTATTTTTTTTAGTTTGAATGCAGGGGTGTATGTAATATTTGAGTTAGATTGCATGAGTGTGCTTGTATGTTGTGCTGGTGTTTTGACTACTTGGATGTATGCATATACACTACCACATATATTCATGCACAATAACACACAGATGCATATAAATACACCGACACATATACACACACAGACGCACACTGACATATACTCGCTCACACATACTCGCGCACACTCTCAAACTCATACACATACTCGCACACATACAAGTGATTTTTTTTTTTTATATCTGTTAGCTTACCTTATGTGCCAGGAGGGTGACTTCGAGTCCAGCTGCTGCTGTGTGAGTGAGGGGTCTGGAGCTCTTCATGCTCCTCTCCCCCCACGCTGGGGCTGCCTCCACCCGCGCTGTCTCCCTGTCATTTCCTCCCAGCCAGTCGACATTACGGGGGTCCGGTTGCGGTCGCAAAAAAAATAGAAAAAATGAAAAAGGATTAACAATGTCCAGTAAAGAGACCATTAAGGATGGAAAAAATCGTGTATATACAAAGTCCACTCTTGCGTGTAAGAAAAAAAATAAAAGGAACAAAAAGATAACATGTAATTAGTTGGATCTCACCATGAGCAGTGATCTATCTTGGTAAAGAGGTCTTTAATGCATGCTGCACTGATGGTTCAAAAAGTATTCCAACTAGGTGTACACAAATGTCCAGTAAATCCTCTAATGTACTTGTATGTAGGTATAGAGTTGGTTACTGACCGTCTCCTTCGTAGGAAAGTATTGGGATGGTAGCTGACACTCTCCTTTACGGATATCCTGGGCTGTGCGCTTGGGACAGCGATGCCCATTTGAAGAATGATTTACTGGACTTTTCGGTGTACTCCTAGTTGGAATACTTTTTTGAACCAGAGCGCATGTACATGGGAGAGCGTGTGGGGGTGAACAAGGGAGGGTATAATAAATAAATAAAATTAACTGAGGGGATTATTAAAAATTATAAGCAGACAGCAGAGAGGGTTCAATTATGAGAAGAGGAGATATAGGGTTACCCTCGCAGGCTCCTTCCCATCGCTTCCTTCAAGGATAGAAGTTGAACGTCTGACAACAGATGTGTTTTATGTACAGATTTAACATTAGGCAACCTGGAAAAATAGTAGAAAAGAGTAGCCCGTGGGCCAAAGCCCAGAGGACACTTGGAAGTCCCTGTAAGTCTGTATAGTTACATCTCTAAAAATAAATGTTAACAGAAATAATAAACATAAATAACATATTTACACAAAGATATCCCACATAAATTCGTAAACGGTAGGACATAATGAAAATGGTTCATGTTTGTGTAAATATTTTATTTTTTGTTTTTCTGTTATCATTTTATTTTTAGAGAGATATTAAATAAATTGTAATTTTAGACCATACAGTAGTGTCGTCTGGGCTTTGGCGCACAGGCTACTCTTTTCTACAAGCTTACTATTTGAGGGTTACCCCCTATTTTGTCCCTGAAAACACACTCTAAATCCCTCCTTGGGAACTAGGTATTTTCTTTCATTGTCAACCTGGAAAAATCTTCCAGTCTGTCTAAGACACGTGTGCAGGGGTGGCAACTATCCACGAACAAAAAATGAGAATACATCTCTGTATGTGCAGCGCTTCAAGCAGAAACTGTTCACATGCAGATTCCTCCCACCATCACCACTTCTAAAAGCAGAAGTGGTCATGGTGGTTGAAGTAACCCTTTAAAGACCAGGGATGTTATATTACATCACAGCAAACCAGCCTTTAAAGATCCTGTACCAAAATGACCCACTCATTTAATGAATGTGCAGGGCTAAATTACCAAAGCATTCCAAATCTTTATAAGCTCAGAAGTGACAGAGCTGCTTTAAAGGAATTTTCAATGTGGTCCAAATTGCAGGTTGAGTGATACCATTTTGGGAGGAACAAGGGCCTTATTAGGCCTAAGGGTACTTGGGTTTGCATTCCTGATTGAATGCAACTGTAGGTTAGTAAAAACTGAAATGGCTGATTCTCTGTTCCTGTACACAATGTAGAACATTGAACTCTTGTAGAGAAATGCACATGGACAATAACATAATAATTTTTTTTTTTTTTCTTATAAATCTGTTTTGCACAAAGAAAAATGTCACATAACAGATCATAGCAAGGTATTATCATGTGCATGTCTCCTTATTCGTTGCAAATATTCCAGGCATGTCACACCAACCATACCTTTTATAACCGGTATATAGTCTATTCTTTCTAATTAAATAAATGGTCTGTTTGATCTGAGTAAATATACAGTCGTGGATAGGAAGAGACAATGAAGGCTATCTGTCTCTCCATGCTAATCCTCATAGCTCATGTCACACCATTCCAAGTTAAACCATCTTCGAGCACTTTAACACTGAATGAGGGCCCCTGGCCACCCTCAGCCTGGATTCCACTGGAGGTTTGGCTAAGACAGAGATTGCACACTTCCTTCTAGCCATACTGATTCATACCCACAATGGCCACTGCGATAAGCTGAAAGCGGTCAGCTTACACTCTCAGCCAATCACAGCTACGTACTGATGGCCTGGCTAATGTTTCCTCATTACTCAAGAAGCACAGAGAGAATGAGCTGATGGGAACTCTTGTTTAGTATTAACACATTAAAAACGGTTTGATGCTGAATGCAAGAACAGCACTCAGGGACTCCAGACACTATAACCACTTCAGTTAGGTAGTGTTACAGTGCCTATAGTGTCCCTTTCATTTAATGTTCAGATTCTTTATGAAGTACTAAATTATCCACCATGAATAAAAAAAATAACTTAATAAAAGTAGTGATGTAAAAATAATTATAAAAAGCATTTTTTTTTTTTTTTTTTTAGCCTTTACTTGCACGGTGTGTGCATTTGTATGTCTTTGTATGTACTGTGTGTCTTTTCTATTTGTATGTATAGCAGATTTTCAGGTAGCTCTATATACAGCAAATGGTTAAAGCTGTGACTTAAAGTGCATGATGGGAATTACTAATTAAGGATGTCCAGCAGAGACTCTCCTCTCCTCCCTCCTCTTTGCTAGAACATTACATCCTCCTGTCTATCTGCAGAGCTATCCAGAACATTCTGCTCATCTGCACCACCACTTCTTATCTTTGAATTGCCCAGTTATACACACTATATAGCAGTTTTCTTTATTGGTGAATATCTCTGCAGCAACTTCATTATGTGCAATTTTGAAAGCAACATCTTTTAGCAAGCAGCATTATGTTATTTAGCAGTGCACGCAAAGACTATTGAAATTATACTTTGAAAACAAACTGACTGGTGAGCTAAGGGTTAAGCTTGCAATGTGTGTTGAGGAGATGAGGTGAAACAGATGTAAGTTTAAGATTATGTAGTCAGATGCAGCTGAGTAGCATGTCCCATGGTATGCATTATCTGTGCATAGATAGTTTCTCTCTGTGCATGGAGGCTTGTTCATTATCATTGGGTACTACTGTTCAGTATACAAAAACTTTCTCCTCGGTGTATAGGCATTCCTCATTATTTAATGATGCACAGTTATTGACTGTGTCTTATTTCAGTATGTTAGAGGCACAGTGTGTTTTATTTTCTTTATTGTTATGAATAGCTATAGTTCATTCCATAGAGGCATGTTTCCTGCTTATCCGACCGCCTGCAGTCTCCCTTCCATGTATTCGGTATGTTCTTCACTGCCACATGTGCCTGCTTTTTTGTCTTCCTAGTATTTGATCATTTCCATGCCTATTGTCCGAGATCTATATTACTTTGTCATTGTGAGCTACCTTACAATACATGGTCGTCTTATTTATTCTAAGTCTGTATACCTAACTCATCAGTTTTTCTGCAAGTGTAATTCTTATCTCCCATCTTTGTTTTTCCTTAGGATGCCGCTTGTTGCCCGCTCCATTGAGCCACGCCACCTGTGCCGGCAGAAACTGCCTCCTGCCCGCAATGAATTGGAGTGTATGACCAACATCACTCTGTCCAATGTCATCAGACAGCTGGGTAGTCTCAGTGAGTGAAAAATCTAGTGACCAATTTATATTTTAATCACACTGTATTGTGAATTGCTGGCTTAGTGAATAACCCTAGTAAATAACTGATAAGCCTATTGTAAAGCGCTAAAGAACTTGCTGGCGCTATATAAATAATAGAATAATAATAAGCCAAGTGTTATACCACGCATGCTGTATTCAGGTTGTTAGATGATCAGTAAAATTAATCAGAAATGTTATTTTTAGTTATTCTATTTTTCTTTTTGTGAGGGCTATTAGTAATATTGAGGTGCAGAAAGGGGAAAAAAACATATGCGTCAACTGCTGTTTTTTTTAATTTATTTTTTATAAATTAAAAATATAAAAGAAAAGTATTCAGCAGTGATGCACCTGCCGTCAAGAAGAGTTTCCTTTGTATGCAGGGAGAAAATTATGGCACCAAGAACAGAGACAATGCCTTCAACTTTAGTGTTACTGTATACTGATTTTAAATTATTTTTCCACCTTTAAAATTCTCCCCTCATATCACACTTTAAATTTGCCAGATGGCAAGTTTGTTTTAACAGTTCTCAATGAGATATGTGCTTGATGGCAATTTTGTTGGACCACTAGGAAAATTAGTTTGTCTGAAAGAGGTATGGCAGGCTCTATTCAGGGAAGACCATGCAAGGCACGCTTTTGAGATACTCTGATGATCTTAATGTCTTGAGGTTACTCTGTGCAGCACCAGCACATCTATTTAGAGACTTTTCCCTGGTGTTCCCATATAAAGGCACCAGGGAACAAACCCAGAACAGGATAACAGAATTATAAAACCGGGACAGTTTTACATACCATATTACACCATACCTCCAAACTACAGAACCATGAACACTAAATTGAAGATATATTTATAGAGCTAATTACTGGTTAGTATGGGTGGCTCTTAAGAGGTTTAAGGCCACCTATAGTCCTGAAAATAAAAGGTTTTAGATTCCCTTCTATCACTGTGACCACTGTCCACCCCCCTTTTGCTGATAAATAATAAAGTTGAATAAACTTTCCATCGCTGCAGCTGCCTACTCCTCCTCTGATGACATCAGAGTCTTCTGCGATCTCGAGATACACATGCACATCCAAACGCTGTGCACCAACAATTAAATGCTACTTTATGTCAGGATTATATTGATCCAGCACGCAGAATAGCATCACACCCTAGAACTAAGAGTAACGTCTTACCGGGCCCTAGAATGGCCAGGCTTAACGTACCCGAGAATAGTCAGAAAACTAGCCGAGGTCAGGGACACAGAACTAGACACCGCGATAAGGAAAAGCCAAAGGTCAAGGGTACCAGAAATCAGGGAAGTCAAAACGAAGCCAAAGTCAAAAAACAGAAAAACACGACCAGGAACACACTTTCGGATAACCATCTAAGAGCAATAAGACAAAGGAATAAGTGAGTTTAAATAATCCTCTTGCAGATCCGATTGGCTGTACCTAGCCCTTGACCCCAAAATGTGCGTGTGCGTCTTTTGCGTGACGTCACCCGCATTTCGACGTCGTCTTTACCATGGACGGACGTGGGCCCATATAATTGCGTGGGCCCACAGCGGCCGGCGTGCACCGACATGCCACACAAGCCAGGCATCATGGCAAAAGGCCACTGAGCGGCACTCTCCTCGATCTTCGGAAGGTAATTATCTCTGTTTTTGCCACATGGATACGAAGGATACTTGACACTATGATCAGCAGTTGATTGCAGGCCCAGGTTTGATTTGTTAGTTCTGGAAGTGGAAGCACAGTCATTAGAGGTGTGCTTAACCCTTCGTTGTAAGTATTGCTGTGTCCACAAAATGCAATGTTTTACGTTGCAGGGATAAAATGACAGGACCAGATAGATGCACGCAGAATGAGTCTGAGTGACTTTCACACAAATAGAATTTTTATAAGAATACCTTTTTTTTTTTTTTGAAAGTGGTAACAAATATATGTTCTATACTTATCTCTCTTAGTTCTGTATGTGCCAAACCTTGCATTTACTGTATTTTATTTCAACTTAATGCAACGATCTAAATATCTTTTTCATAATTGGTTAAACTCTCCTTTTATTTCAGACAATGGTGGGTGGTCATTCTAAAATTAGTTGTTAGGAACTGGGGATGATTAAATTGTTGTTGAATATGAACACAATTTTAAAGGAATTCTATAGCTTTAGCTTAATGGAGCGGTTTTGGTGTATAGATGTTTTCATTTTACCTTCTGCAGTACACAATAAGCCTGCTTGGCCCCAAAATCTTTCGCTTCCTATTTTATTTCTATGTAGCCTCAGAATGTACTACTTGATTGCTTAAAGTGGTCCTAATTTTTATTTTTTTCCCCAGCATTTAAATTTTGGCTCTCATTTTATTTCCTTTACTGCAGCCAGTGTTAATTTTGGCTGCAAATTTAAATTTAGTTTTAGTATTTTGATTAAAAAGCCATTTTAGTTTTAATCGACTAAATCTCAAACATTTTAGTTGACTAAAACTGTTAGTTGCTGACTTCAGTTTTCCTGGTCTCTTGATTGACTCTTGAGAACATCTCTCTCAATTTTCATGCTAGGTCGCTATGCGGAGGACATATTTGGAGAGCTGTTCACTGAGGCAAGTCTTTTTGCTCACCGTGTTGGAACCCTGGGGGAGAGGGTGGAGAAGCTACAGGTCAAGGTGACACAGCTGGATCCCAAAGAGGAAGAGGGTGAGTAATATGGTCAGAAACACATCCCTCAGAAGTCAAAAAATTGTCTTGCACAATTTTGACAATGCACAGAATCAGTTTTATATATATTTATTTTTTTTGTCACATTTTAACATTGTGTCTGTTGTGCTTAGTCTCTCTTCAGGGTATAAATACAAGGAAGGCGTTTCGCAGTAACACCTCACAAGATCAACAGCTGTTCGTTCGTGACTCTCTGTCACTCCCTGTGCATGAGACTTACATCACCTGTAACATGCCACCTCCACTTAATATCCTGTCACCTTACAGGTATAAGGCAAATGCTAAACATAGATGTTTAATGGGTGTAATTGAGAGCCTGGTTGTTTTGTAATGCAAACCAGCAATGTTTTTATATCTTACATGTCTTGTCCCTTTAGTACAAATCTCGATCCTTTTGACTGCTGAATCTTATGTCTGTGATTTAAATTTTTCTTTTTGCATGTAGGGATGATGGGAAGGAAGCCTTGAAATTTTATACAGATCCATCCTATTTCTTTGATCTGTGGAAGGAGCAGATGTTACAAGATACCAAGGATATCATGAAGGAGAAGCGCAAGCATAGGGTGAGACTTCCATGGCACTTGGTGTATTTTAAAGGGCGCACAGAATTTGTATTCAGATATACTTGAGCCATGCTCAGCCAAGAATTCTTTCTTGCAACCTATAGTGTTATTTGCTGCGTATTTGCTGCGTATCTTTACTACTGTTTTACATTTTATTTTCAGTTTTGAGTGTGGCCATTGTTACTTTTGAGAGCAGCAGTATATGGGGAAACTAAGAAAGAATTTATGAGAAAACTGACAATCAGCCAAACTGTAGTAACCTGCCCTTAAAATAATTTACACTTGGGCTCTGATTTGGCTTCTATACTTTTTCTTAGGATCTACTGAATTTTACATGCTAATCCAGACAATTACTTTTCCTATAAGGGTATCTGCTTCGTGGCAAGGCTCAAAGTAGGCTGAAATCTGAGATTTAATTCTCTTGTGCAGAAGGAATTTGCTGGCATTCCAGTTCTGGGCGTTTCTTGTGGGCAGCACTAGTCTGATATGCGAGTGTTATGGGTTCCCTCTGTAATGGCACATGTGAGCTAAATTGGTTTGATACCTGAGTGGTGACTTATTTGATGTCACAGTGACCAAATTTCAGTAGGAACTCCCAGATCACTAAATGATTTTAGAAATTGGTGAGCTTTAGCTCACGCTCTCAGCTTATCACCAGCAACCCTGTGAAACCCTCCTCATACTGCGAACTAACAAAACAATAGATAACACAAACTTTAACTGCTATCATGGTTACCAGTTCCTAAAGAGTGTTTTTTAACCACAAGATTATATAGTCCTATGCTGTTTTCAATTTAATACTTTAGCTAATGAATGTGGATTAATTAACGTGATCATAGACATAGTTCTGATCTACCTCTGCCGGCAAATCAGTGCATGCTTTTACAAATGATGTCAGCCCTGGGGTAATATAGCCCTGTATCAATGGTGATCTAACCTTTCCCATTGATTATTGCATGGAGTTTTCAGTCAGCATTTTAGTATTCTACTAAGGTAGCCCTTTTTCCTTATGTTTTATATCTCAATGCAGATAGATTGCATTCTTGATTAGGTAGGGATAGGGCAAGGCATACTTTTATTGCTTTATTCTGTTGAGAGAATATAGACAGTCTCGATTCTATCTTAAGAATAAATGTGTGTGTTTTCAAATTCCATACTGCTTGGTGGGTGACGTGGCATTTAGCATCAAAAGTGAATGCACTGTGTGACTGACATTTTGCAAGCCAAGAACTACTAATCATACATGTCCCTGCCTTCCCAAGATTCATGAGTTACATTCCCATGTAGTAGCTACCATCATTAATTTAAACACTCTTTTAATATCAATATGCTGTGACAGATTATAAGGAAACATATTTGCGATTTGCTGAGCCATGATTTAGGTAAAATACCTTTTTGGAAAGATTATAAAAAAAATATATATATGATATAGTGTGTGCATGTGTTATTCTTTTTTTGGGGTATTACATTTGTATAGCTATATGTTTGCATACAACTTTAAAATTGCATTTCACTATAGCAGGGGTAGGCAACCTTTTAGCAGCACTGTGCCGATATAGGATTGTGATATCCCGTAGCGTGCCGGTCCTATTTTTTTTAAAATTGCCGTGTGTATGTTGCCGTCTTCTGCTTGTGTTATTTTTACTGTAATTGCTTTATATTGTTGTATTTGTGCGTATATGAGCTATTATATTGTATATGTTCATTAGTAGTTGATGGTATCATGTATGATACGTATGAATGTGGGCTGTGTATGAGAGCTGCTTGTGGAATTGTGTGTGGATGGATATGTCACATTGTGTGTTTGGTAGTGTGTGGGGGCTGTTTGGGGTGTTGCATGTGAGAGGCTGCATGTGGGGTTGTGTGCATGTATGTGGATTGTTAGTGGTGTTGCGTTTGTGGGGATTGTGTGTATGTTTGTGTGTGGGCTGTTCATATTTGTATGTATCTGCATTTCTGTGTATAGTGGGGGCCAGGTACAGGTCAAGGACAGGAGTTGCAACAGTCGCTACGGGCTGCTCTACTACAGTGTGGACTCCTATTTACAAGTGCTGGGAAGAAGTGATCTGAGATCACTTCCTCTATGTTCTGCAATGCATAAATTGAGGATTGTCCTTCACCACCTCTTCGTATTAGCAGATATCTGAAGTTTTACTGGGACTCCTGATAGGCCAGAGCCTGTTTGGCTCGAGCAGCCTTGAGTGCCGTAGGTTGCCTACCCTTGCTCCATAGTATGAAATGACATCACGGCTTTAACATGTCTTCCTCATATTTCCCACAGAGACTCATTAACAGAGGTTTTTGCCTTCAGTGGGTGATGCTGGGATTATTGGTTTTCTAGGTTTGCAGTTAGTAGATTTTTATGTACTGAAAGTGCAATGAAAGGAACGTTGTGTGTTTGCGACCTGCAGGGAGGGGATGCAGAGCGCACATTCTCTTATGCTGGGCCAACCACCAACCATTCACTGTGTTGAATGCAGGGGGATTTGTTTTTGTGCTTTATTTATTTAAATGCTAGTCTGAATGCAAATAGCTTTTTTGAATGGGGGGTGGGGAAACACTGAGGTGCAAAATAGACTGGGTTAAAAACAAACAAAAAAACATTAATTATAGTAGGTTGTTCAATATAAATATATGTTTTATTTATATATATATATATATATATATATATAATATATATTCAATCCAATTTAAAAAAAACAATAAAAACTAATGATCTTTGGTAAGACATGCCACTTTTATGCAGATGACAGCTGAAGTGGAATATATATATATATATTTTATCCAATAAAGGTGAAGTGAGAATATTGAAAAAGGTATCATTTCATTGTGTGTGTGTGTGTATATGTATGTATATATATATATATATATATATATATATATATATATATATATATATATATATATATATATATATATTTATTTCCTGGCCATATCCATGGCAGCACAACAATGGGTAGCTCCTCCCCTATCCCTAGTTAGACAGGAACTAATTAAAATAAGGGTACAAATACCCCCTCCTACCTCCTCCTCCCTCAGTCTTTTTGTTCCTGTCCTATCCCTATAGGACCAAATTAGTCTATTTTCAGGACTATAACCACTTTTCTTTTATGGCTTACCTGAGGGTTTTTACCTTCTGTCCTCAAGGAAGTTCAGCCTCTCTTCCTTGGGAAGCTTCAGTATCCGGCCCTGTGCAAAGGTGTCCCCCTGAAGATACCCCCTTAGTGACCGGGGGTTTTACTTGCAGTGACCCTAGGGGTAGCAAGAGAAAAAAATGCCAAATAACTCTGATTCCCTGCAGTGACCAAGAGGTAGCAGGAAGTGGCAAGAAGACTTTATCCTGGATGGATTTCTGCATTTTACAACAGCCCACATGTATGTATGTACAAATACTTTTTACAATATATACTGTATTTGTTAGATCATATGTGTGGGTTTTTTCCCCCCCCTACCTATTATTTCTGTGTACTTTTTCTTTCACGCCTTCTCGGCGTCCTGTTTGTCCGGGTGCGCATGCGCGCCGTTTCGCGCGTGCACGTTTGTATCGCGTGCACGCTAGCTTCATTCGCGTGCACGCCGGGTCCGCGCGCACGCTATACACCGCGCATGCGTCTGGTCCCCATGAGGCAGTTACAGTGCCTCCTACTCCGGAGTAGCTTCCGGGTTTGTGCCGCGCATGCGCAGTTAACGAGCAATGAATTCGCTCGTTTTGAGCATGCGCGGATAGGCGGTGACGTCAGATATGACGTCACACGCCTATTTAAGCGCCAAAGTTGAATTAAATTATTACCTGATGTCCTCATTAGGTCTTTAGAGGACCTGTTTTCTTACAGTTCTCAATTTGAATTGCGTTTATATTTTACTGAAAATCTGAAGGTAAGCTTTACTTCTTAAAGGTATATACACATTTTTTTCATTTCTTTACTCCTTTCTTTCTATAACAATAAGAATTCCTTTTTTAGACTGTTCATAATCAACTCCAAAATGGAAAAAGACAAAAGGAGATCAATTTCTTCTGATTCGGACTCTTCTGGATATAAAAATAGGTCACACTCTAAGAGTTATAGGTAAGCCATATCACATCATTTTTTTCCCTTATCCGGAATATGATACATGAAATAAAAGAGTGCTAATGTGAGATATTTCCCTATCATGATAGTTCTACGGGAAAGAAAACAGTGAGATCATCCAAAGGAAAATCTCCAAAGAAAAATCAATGCGAAGCCTGTAATAATAAACCGCTGGAAGGCAAACGGTTATGCGCAGAATGTTTATCTGAAGCAGCTGGAACATCTAATCCTTCAATGGAATTTGTACAGTTCATAAAACAAGCGGTGGCTCAAGGTATCAAAGAAGCAGGGGCAAGTCACAAAAGACCCAGGTTACATGAACCTTCGGATTACCAACGTAATGATTCGTCAGATGAATCCATGGATATGGAATCATACCAGGGGAATTTCTTATCTTCAGACGAAGAAGAAACTCAGGCCCCTGCAGATTTTTTAGAACCTGCTCAGATAGACCACCTCATTTACAAAGTCCGTAAATCTTTGAGCTTGAAGGAGGCAGTTGCAGAGCAGTCAACCTCTTATCGTTATTTCTCAGATTTGAGAAAGAAAAGAGCTACCTTTCCAGTACATGATACTATTAAGGAATTAATTAAAGACGAGTGGTCTAACACAGATAAGAAGCTTTCAGCACAAGGCAGAATATCTCGCCTCTATCCTTTTGACAAGTCTGATTCATACCATTGGGATAATGCCCCTAAGGTAGATGCGGCAGTAGTTCGACTCGCAAAACACACCACATTACCAGTAGATGATGCAGGCTCATTTAGACACCCAATGGACAAAAAGATGGATCTGCATCTCTCAAAAGCTTATGTAGCAGCAGGGACTGGTTTTCACCCTGCAATAGCCCTTACTTCAGTATCCAGGGCCTTAAAAATCTGGATCGAAAACTTGGAAGAAGATATCAGAGATGGGAGAAACAGATCTTCTCTTCTGGAAAGATTAAATGATATTAAACTGGCCGTTGACTTTACCTCAGAATCCTCAGTGGACATGGTGAAAGCTTTAGCAAGAAACATGGCTCTTTCAATTTCAGCTAGAAGAGCTTTATGGCTGAGATCCTGGTCCGCAGATTCATCATCAAAGTCTAGTCTATGCGCCCTTCCTTTTCATGGTGAGATGTTGTTTGGTAAAAATCTAGACGAGTGCATCAAAAGAGCTGCAGAAGGTAAGAGAGCCTTTCTCCCACAAGACCGGAAAACCCGTGGATCCTTTCGAGCCAGAAGATACTCTGAATACCCCTCTTTTCGTGATACCAGATCTTATAAACCAGGAAGAGAATATGGAAGATCCATTCCATGGAGAGGAGGTCATTCATCCAACAGAGGAGGAAAGTCTAGAGGTTCCTCATTTCACAAGAAGCCTTTATGACAAACCCACCTACCATTCTGGAGGAGTAGGTGCCCGTCTACTTCTATTCCAGAATATTTGGAAACATTCAACTCAAGACAGATGGGTGCTGGATATCATACAGAGAGGTTATCTTATAGAATTCTCCACAAGGCCGCCTCCTCGCTCCTTCCAGAAGACAATCTGGCCAAGAGATGTAGAAAAAAGAGATTCCCTAAAAAAGTTTATCTCATCCCTTCAAGACGATGGAGTTATCGTTCAAGTTCCAAGAGCTCAACAAACACATGGGTTTTACTCCCATATCTTTCTCACCAGAAAATCCACAGGGGGATGGAGACCAATATTAGACCTAAGCAGACTAAACAAGTTCCTAAACATAAGGAAATTCAAGATGGAGTCTCTTCAATCCATTGTAAAAGCAGTTTTTCCAGATCAATGGCTCATGTCAATAGACCTGGCAGACGCATATTTCCATATTCCCATAGCACCCCAGCATCAAAAATTCCTCAGATTCGCTGTAGAAGAGGGTCATTTTCAGTTCCGGGCTCTCCCTTTTGGGCTAAGCACTGCTCCGCGTACTTTCTCAAAAGTTCTGGTGGTTCTCATCGGAGAACTCAGGAAGAAAGGCATTGCAGTATATCATTACCTCGACGACATCTTGATTCTGGCAGAAAACAGAGATATATTAGAAGATCACGGCCTGATATGTATACAGTATCTTCAACAACACGGATGGAAGATCAATTTTGCCAAAAGCAACCTAAAGCCATCCCAGAGCATGATATATCTAGGAGCAGCATTCAACACTGCAGAAGGTTCCGTCCAACTGTCCCCAGAAAGGGGTATGAAAATTCGGAAAAAGGTCAAAGACATGTTAGCATCCAGTGTTTCCTCAGCAGAGACAACTATGAGCCTCCTGGGATCAATGTCCTCCACCATAGGACTTACGAGATGGGCCCAATGGAGAATGAGGCCTTTCCAAAGGAATTTCCTTTCTCAATTCAAGGGCAATCTGTCTCAACCTATAGTGATCCCTCCTCACGTACAAAAATCCCTGAAGTGGTGGACCCAGAAAGAATCTCTCTTCAGAGGTTATCCCTTAGGAAACATTCCATGGATCATCATCACCACAGATGCCAGTCAATGGGGCTGGGGAGCCCACCTTCAAGACAACTATGTTCAGGGGAAATGGGCATTTTCAACCTCCGACACCCCTTCAAATCTTCTAGAACTTCTGGCAGTTTTCAAGGCTCTAATACACTTCCAGCAACTTTTACTTCACAAATGGGTCAAGATCAGGACAGACAATGCCACAGTTGTGGCATATATAAATCACCAAGGAGGGACAAGAAGTTGCAGAATGATGAAACTTATGAAACCTTTGATGGCCTGGGCTCAAATGAATTTGGAGAATATCTCTGCAATACATCTCCCAGGAACTCAGAACTCTGTGGCAGACTTTCTCAGCAGGGTGAGATTAGACCCGGGAGAATGGAGTCTATCAGACATCATATTTCTACAGATCGTAGAAAAATGGGGCCTTCCCCAGATAGATCTAATGGCTACAAGCAACAACAGAAAAGTCAAGAACTTCTTTTCGAGAATTCCAGATCCCCAGGCCATAGGAAGAGACGCATTGACATGCAGTTGGAACTTCAACCTGGCTTATGCCTTTCCTCCGAAACCCCTCATCTTCCCTCTGCTAAGGAGACTACGACAAGAGAAGACATCACTGATTCTAATAGCCCCTTTTTGGCCTCGCAGACCTTGGTTTCCGCTCCTACTAAGTCTGTGCAAGAAGGATCCATGGCGCCTTCCAGTTGTCCCATTCCTGTTACATCAGGGTCCAATTCATCATCCAAACCCAGCATCCCTTCATCTGATGGCATGGTACTTGAAAGGGATGGGTTAAAGAACAAGGGATTTTCGAGATCAGTTATCGAGACACTTCTTCAAGCAAGGAAGAAGTCCACTTCATCCACTTACTACAGAATATGGGATGTATTTTCTTCATGGGCCAGTTCAAGGCCCTTTGATATGTTGAACCCTTCAACTACTGACATTCTTGATTTTTTACAATCAGGTCTAGAGAAGGGATTGAGTTATAACACTCTAAAAGTGCATGTTTCTGCCCTCTCTGCTTTAACTAATCATAGATGGGCACTGGATCCAGACATAGCTAGATTTTTGACTGCAGTCCTCAAGATCAAGCCACCCATTAAGTCTATTACTCCGCCATGGGATCTCCCTCTGGTCCTGAAGGCTCTTAAAGCAGATCCTTTTGAACCTATGGCATCTATTTCCTGTCATCTTCTCACGATCAAGACAGTTCTACTAGTAGCCCTAGCCTCTGGTAGAAGGGTTTCTGATCTTCAGGCTCTTTCGGCTCGAGAACCTTTTACTATATTTCATAAGGACAGAGTCATCCTGAGAACGGTTCCAGAATTCCGCCCTAAGGTAACTTCAGAGTTCCATATGAATGAAGAAATAATCCTTCCAGCATTAAGTACAGAAGAATCTAATAACAGGGAAGACGCTGATGATGATGCTATCGACCTAGTAAGATGTCTTAAGATATATATACAAAGATCCTCAGAATGGCGTATTTCGGAAAGGCTTTTTGTTATTCCTAATGGCCCTAGGAAGGGTCTGCAAGCTTCGAAAGCCACTATCAGCAGATGGATAGTTTCGGCCATTATCCAATCTTATAGATCATCTAAAACTAGTGTTCCTGAAGGTTTGAAAGCTCATTCTACACGTTCCCTTTCTTCATCCTGGGCAGCTGCAGCAAAGGTTTCTACAGAACTGATTTGCAAAGCAGCCACTTGGTCATCTTCTAATACATTTATTAGACATTATCGTTTAGATGTAAGAGCTGGCCAATACGATGGATTTGGCAGATCAGTTCTTTCTGCCTCAAAGGATTAACTACTATTCTTTTTGTTCATCACATTGAGTTGTTTGTGACAATACACTTGCATTATATAATAATGTGTCTGAGTTTTTCTTTCCCTCCCTTGGTTTTAGCTTGGGTATTACCCATTGTTGTGCTGCCATGGATATGGCCAGGAAAGAGATAAATTTACTCATACTTACCGTAATTTTCTTTTCCTGGTCATAGGCCATGGCAGCACAAAGGTCCCACCCAGGGATATTGCTGTTAACTAGACTGAGGGAGGAGGAGGTAGGAGGGGGTATTTGTACCCTTATTTTAATTAGTTCCTGTCTAACTAGGGATAGGGGAGGAGCTACCCATTGTTGTGCTGCCATGGCCTATGACCAGGAAAAGAAAATTACGGTAAGTATGAGTAAATTTATCTCTATATTTCCTGGCCATATCCATGGCAGCACAACAATGGGTTAGCTCCTCCCTATCCCTAATTAGACAGGAACAGAATTAAAATCAGGGGTATAAATACCCCCTCCCACCAATGGTCCCTTAGGAACATTCCCTGCAGTAACCAAGCGGTAGCAGGAAGTGGCAGAAGAACCTCATCTACAGAAGATTCTTCTTACCTTTACCTGGCAGGCACAGTAAGTTTTAATGCATTTATTGTGTATTATTGTACTTATGGCTGTCAGGTTTTCCCCCTTCCACCTCTTTTGTATGTGCCATAGATTTTGTATTTTTTTTTTTTCCTTTATCCTTCCTTCTCCCCTTTTCCCCTTTAAAATTTGATTTTACCGGGCTTGCCGCCATCTTGTCGGCGTCTTCCCGGTCCCCCGCGCATGCGCGGTCCAGCCGCCACGTCGTGGCTTCTTCCACGCATGCGCGGACCGGTAGCTACGTCTGGTACGCCTCCGCGCATGCGCGGATTAGGGGGCACGTCGTGCGAACTTCCGCGCATGTGCGGAGTATTGTGCACATGCGCGGAGTGTTCTTCCGGGTTCGCGGTGACGTCATCAGTGACGTCACTCGCCACCTTTAAAAAGGCGCCAAGTTTGAACTTTCTTACCTGTTTCAGGTTGCCTGGACTCTGGGGAGCTCTTGCAGCATCTTTTGTTCCAGTTTTGTTCGATTTTTCAAACCTCCAGTTTCTGTTGCTCAGCTATGGGTTTATTTCTTAAAGGCACATTCCCCTTTTTTCACAGATTGAGTTTTTATGCTTTTTTGAGTATAAATATTTCCTTCCTATATTATGACAGGGAAGATGGACAAATCTTTCTCATCAGACTCTGAGGCTTCCATTCATAAACAAAGGTCACAATCCAAAGGTTATAGGTAAGCCATTATTTTTCTCTCTCTCTATCTAGACCAAACAAAAAGAGTGCATGGTTTAATTATATTTCCCTATTATGTCAGCTCTATGGGAATTAAAGCATCCAGAACTTCCAAAGGCAAGTCGCCTATGAAGAAGAGATGCGAAGCCTGCAGCAATAAACCTCTGGAAGGCAAGCGTCTCTGCGCTGAATGCCTCTCTACAGCCGCAGGCACTTCCACTACTGCCCCTACTCCAGATATGATGGAGTTTATTAAACAAGCGGTCTCCCAGGGCATCAGAGAAGCTGGCAAGTCCCACAAGAGGCCAAGATTCGCTGAACCCTTGGGGTTTTCTCAGGAAGAATCCTCAGATGAGTCCTTAGACTCCTACAGGGACGGGCTATCCTCCTCTGAAGAAGAATCTTATGCCCCAGAATTCATGGAGCCTGCTCAAGTTGATCATTTAATAGCCAGAGTGCGCAAATCCTTGAGTCTCAAGGAAATTTCCCCTGAGCAACCTTCTACTTCCAGTAGATATTTTGCTGATCTGAAGAAAAAGAGAGCTACGTTTCCAGCTCATGAGACAATCAAAGAACTGATTGAAGACGAGTGGTCTAATACTCGTAAGAAACTGACCTCTCAAGGCAGAGTTGCTCGTCTTTATCCATTTGAGAGAAAAGACTCCAGCTGTTGGGATTCGACTCCTAAGGTAGATGCGGCCATAGTAAGACTGGCCAAACACACTACTTTACCAGTTGACGACGCAGGTTCATTCAGAGATCCCATGGATAGGAAAATGGATCTGAACCTCACCAAAGCTTACGTGGCTGCAGGCACAGGCCTCCATCCAGCAGTTGCTCTTACCTCAGTTTCCAGAGCTTTAAAGATCTGGATGGAAAATCTAGAGGCAGACATCCAAAGAGGCAGGAGCAGATCCAGTCTTCTAGAATGCCTAAAAGATATAAAGCTTGCAGTAGACTTTACGTCTGACGCTTCGGTGGATCTGGTTAAAGCTTTTGCCAGAAATATGGCCCTCTCCGTTTCAGCCACAAGGGCTCTATGGTTAAGGTCCTGGATAGCAGATACCTCTTCTAAATCTAGTTTATGTGCCTTACCTTTCCACGGCGACATGTTCTTTGGGAAAAACTTGGATGAATGTATTAAAAGAGCAGCTGAAGGCAAGAGAGCTTTTCTCCCACAGGATCGTAAACCCAGAGGTTCCTTTCGATCCAAAAGATATCCAGACTATTTTTCCTTTCGAGATGCCAGATCTTACAAACCAGGAAGAGAGCATGGTAGATCCCAGCCTTGGAGAGGTGGACAGTCATCCAGAGGCGGTAAATCTAGAGGCACCTCATTCCACAAGAACCCCAGATCTTTATGACTGGTTTCCCCCCCAGTCAGTAGGTGTGGGGGCACGTCTGTTGCTCTTCCAAGACGTATGGGAATTATCCACCACAGACAGATGGGTGTTGGATATCATAAGAAGGGGATATCGTTTAGAATTTTTCAGAACCCCTCCAGCTTACTCCTTTCAAACTACCAAATGGCCAGGAGACGCAGCAAAAAGACAGGCCTTGAAAGATTTCATCTCGACGCTCCAGGAAGGAAATGTCATCATTCCAGTTCCTCAGCAACAACAAGGTCAAGGGTTTTACTCTCACCTGTTTCTCACCAAAAAAGCTTCAGGTGGTTGGAGACCTATCTTAGACTTAAGCAGGCTGAATCGGCATCTCCTCATCCGAAAGTTCAAGATGGAATCTATTCAATCCATCATAAAGGTCGTCTTTCCACTCCAATGGATGATTTCTATAGACTTGGCAGACGCTTATTTCCACATCCCCATCACTCCAGAACATCAGAAATTCCTTCGGTTTGCGGTGGAACAAGGGCATTTTCAATTCCGAGCCCTGCCGTTTGGTCTCAGCACAGCTCCAAGAACATTCTCCAAGGTCTTGGTTGTTTTGATTGCGGAACTCAGGAAAAAGGGCATAGCCATTTACCATTACTTAGACGACATCCTCATCTTGGCAGAAGACACAGATACCCTTCAGACCCATGGACAGGTTTGTCTACGTTTTCTACGCCGTCATGGTTGGAAGATAAACGAGAACAAGAGCCAATTACAGCCGGTTCAGGAGATGAAATATTTGGGGGCCATATTCAACACTCTAGCAGGCACAGTGCAACTGTCTCCAGAAAGAGGTACGAAGTTGATGTACAAAGTCAAAGACATGTTGGCATCCAATGTGACCTCAGCAGAAAGATGCATGAGCCTATTGGGATCAATGTCCTCCACCATCGGGCTGACAAAATGGGCCCAATGGAGGATGAGGATTTTCCAGAAAAACTTCATCCTTCAATTCAGATCGAAAAGTCCTCTTCAGCCTATCAAGATTCCACCTCAGGTCCATCAATCTCTGATTTGGTGGTTACAGAAGAAACCCTGCTCAGAGGGTTTCCATTGGGGAACATCACATGGACAGTTATTACCACGGACGCAAGCCAGTGGGGATGGGGTGCCCACCTGCAAGATCAGTTTATCCAAGGGAAATGGTCCTTTCCAGTAACAGAGACTCCCTCCAACCAATTAGAGCTTCTGGCAGTTCTAAAGGCTCTAGAGAATTTCCTTCCCCTCATACGCTTCAAGTGGATCAAGATCAGATCAGACAATTCCACTGTAGTTGCCTACATAAACCATCAAGGGGGAACAAGGAGTCGGAAAATGATGTCCATCATGAAGCCCCTAATGTCCTTCTCCCAGAAGCATCTTGCGGGCCTATCAGCGATCCATCTTCCGGGAGTCCAGAATTCCATAGCGGATTACCTGAGCAGAGTGGAATTAGATCCAGGAGAATGAAGTCTGTCAAACAAGGTGTTCGAAGACATTTCTCAAGTATGGGGCATGCCACAAGTCGACCTTATGGCACAAGAACAGGAAGGTGCAGCACTTCTTTTCAAAAAGCATCGATCCCCAAGCATCAGGAAGGGATGCTCTTTCAATCGATTGGGAATTTCACCTAGGCTACGCATTTCCTCCTACGCCCCTCATCTTTCCTCTTCTGAGACGATTGAGGCAGGAGAAGGTATCCATCATCCTCATAGCCCCCTTTTGGCCTCGCAGGCCGTGGTTTCCTCTGTTGTTGAGCCTCTGCAGCGCAGACCCCTGGCAGCTTCCAAATATTCTGTCCCTTCTACATCAGGGTCCTGTCCTCCATCCAGACCCTGCCTCCCTCAAGCTGATGGCATGGAAATTGAAAGGGAAAGGTTGAACTGCAAGGGATTTTCCCATTCTGTCATTGAAACTCTACTGCAAGCAAGGAAACGCTCTACATCTTCCACTTACTACAGAATCTGGGACGTTTTTTCCTCCTGGGCTGCATCCAACCACAGGAATATTCAGTCTATCTCCACCAAGGAGATCCTTGAATTTCTACAATCCGGTCTTGATAAGGGTCTAAGCTACAATACCCTGAAGGTACATATTTCAGCTCTTTCGGCCCTTACGGACCAGAGATGGGCCTTAAACTCAGATGTGATCAGATTTATGGCAGCAGTTTTGAAAATCAAGCCTCCTATCAAGCCCTTCGCTCCACCATGGGATCTTCCCTTGGTATTAAAGGCCCTGAGCAATTCTCCTTTTGAACTTCTTGAATCCATCTCTCCTCAGGTACTCACCATTAAGACGGTTCTATTGGTGGCCTTAGCCTCAGGTAGACGAGTGTCTGAACTCCATGCCTTATCTACGAAAGAGCCCTTTACAGTTTTTCATAAGGACAGAGTTGTTTTACGAACGGTTCCCGAATTTCGTCCTAAAGTGGTGTCAGCTTTTCACATCAACGAAGATATAATACTCCCGGCTCTTCATTCGGAGTCTTCTACTGAGAATGAGGAATCTCTGCCTTCTCCATTGGATCTTGTTCGATGTCTGTCTGTCTATCTACAAAGATCTTCAGCCTGGCGGATCTCTCAAAGGCTATTCGTTATCCCCAACGGCCCCAGAAGAGGCCTTCAGGCTTCTAAGATGGCCATCAGTAGATGGATTGTTGCCGCCATCGTTCAGGCTTACCAAGCCTCAAAGACGAAGGTTCCGGAGGGGCTCAAGGCTCACTCCACAAGGTCCCTTTCCTCATCCTGGGCAGCAGCTGCTAATTTGTCACCCGAGCTGATTTGCAAAGCAGCCACTTGGTCTTCTCCAAACACGTTTATTAAGCATTACCAGATTGACGTTAAAGCCAGCCAATCGGACTCTTTTGGCAAATCAGTCTTATCCGCAGTCAACTCTTCTTGATTGATTTCTATTGCACGTGTGATTTCTAATACACCAGCATTTAAAAAGGTTCTTGAGTCTGTGTTTCTTTATTCCCTCCCTTGGTTATTGCTTGGGTATTACCCATTGTTGTGCTGCCATGGATATGGCCAGGAAAGATGAAAATTTATCCATACTTACCGTAATTTTCCTTTCCTGGTCATAGGCCATGGCAGCACTTAGATCCCGCCCTGGGATATTGCTGTTAACAAGACTAAGGGACCATTGGTGGGAGGGGGTATTTATACCCCTGATTTTAATTCTGTTCCTGTCTAATTAGGGATAGGGAGGAGCTAACCCATTGTTGTGCTGCCATGGCCTATGACCAGGAAAGGAAAATTACGGTAAGTATGGATAAATTTTCATCTATATCACACGCTACGGAATTTGCTGGCGCTATAATAATAATATATAATTGGATCAATTTATATATATAAATATATGCAGCTCTTGCATGCGCTGCTCTGCTGTTTTGTTTTTTTCTTTTCTTTTCTTTTTAACTAGCTTATTGACTCTCCTCTGTTTGTTTATTTACTTTTTCTGTCTATTCTCAACCAACTTGCACCTTTAACTTTCAGGCACATCTTCTGCTATTTATGACACCCCACTCACTCCCTCCCCTTCTCTAACATCAGTTTTAAGTGTTAAACTCTATCATATTGTTCAGTATTGTTTCAGACCTGAGGAAAACTCTTGAAAGCTTGTCTTTGAAATATTATGTTAGTCCAATAAAAAATGTATCATACTGAAATACTCTGGTATTTTGGCATCTTGTCTAATACGGCTAATCCAATCTACAGTGTGTGTGTGTGTATGTATGTATATATGTGTGTATGTATATATATATATATATATATATATATACATACACACACACTCTAGAGCTGTGTGTGTATATATATATATATACACACACACACACACAGCTCTAGACTTTGAGGCCTTAGGCGAAACTCAAACATGAGGCCCCACTAACAAAAAAGTGTCACATTGATGCACAGTTTACTTGTGTATGTGCCTGAGAGTGTGTCTGACAGAGAGTATCCTTGTGTGTAAATGTATGTCTCTGTGAGCATGTTTGCGTTTTTGTCTGAGATCCTATGTGTATGGGGTAGCTGCTTGAAGTGTGTATGGTGGTGGGGGAGGTGATGGTGAGAAGGAGAGGCGGGTGATGTTAATGTGAGAAGGAGGGGGAGGTGATTGTGAGGTGGTGGGGAGAGTGATGCTGAGGGGGGTGATGCTGAGGGTGGTGGGGGAGGTTGAGGGTGAAGGGGGGTGGTGAGGCTGAGGGTGGTGGGGGAGGTTGAGGCTGAGGGTGAAGGGGGTAGTGAGGCTGAGGGTGAAAAGGGGGGGTGAGAGAGCCTACCTTCATTCCTGGTGGCCACTGCTTCCGTAGAGCTGCAGACCATGTAATCTCGCGAGATGACACATGGTCTGCAGCTCTGCACACTGCGGAGCTGCAGACCTGTGTCTGCGTTGGTGGCCGGGAAGACAGGAGGGGCCTCGCACCCGGCGGCATACCGGGCAAGCCGCCGGGCCCCCTCCTGGTGTCAGGTCCTCGGTCACTGACAGAGAACCTGACACAGGCAGTTTAGGCGGCCGCGAGGCTTTAGGCGGCCGCCTAAACCACCTAATTAGAGAGCCGCCTCTGTGTGTGGTATATTTTTATATATATATATATATATATTTTCTTATGCTTCATGCTGGGGCAGAAGCCCAGACACTTTATAAAAGTGCAAGCTAAGTTACCCCTAAAAGCATTTCAGCAAGCTGAAATGCTTTAGAGCAGGCATCTCAATCTCTGGTCCTCGAGATGTTGAAATATTATTTTGAGAGAGACTGTGCTCCTCTTGCACATACATTTTTCAGGTAGATTATTTAGTGAGATATAGCTAGTAACTGTATGTCTGTAATACTCCTTATAAGAAGAAATCAATGTAAGGTGCTAGTGAATATGTTCCAGGGATGTGTAGTGGTTTTGGATTACGTGACTATTATTGAAGTTGGTCTCAGCAGCCCACATTTTTTGCTTTTAAACTTTGATATGTGAGGCATTTTTAACATTCAGAACTAAAAAGTGAATCTGTTTTGGGTTAATTTTTAAATTTTCACTATTTATGTAGAAATGTATTATACGTAAATCCGGGGTGGGGGTTTCCTATTTTTAAACTATTTTATTTGCATGTAATTTTGTACTTTGCATACCTATAGAGAATCAGAAAAAAGCCCTATCTGTCACAACAAACACACAACAATAAATAAGTATGGCTGCACGGAACTAGCAAACAAATAGCAAAAGTGGCAAAAAGGCCTTAGTCATGAATGCACAGAAGTTCATTAAAGTCTGTAAGTCATGAAAGAGTTAATGCAATACAGTAGCTGTTTAAAAGTGTTTTCTCATAGAGTAAACAAACTGTGCTCAAATTTGTAAATTGATTACACCGGGAAAATGTACCAAAGCTGTGACCTTGTGAAGTTACAAATCTTTAATCTCTATACTGTGCAGAAAGTAGTAACCTGACGTTTTAATTATATCTGGTGTTTATGCAGAGAGAGAAGAAAGACAATCCCAATCGTGGAAACGTGAATCCTCGCAAGATCAGAACTCGAAAAGATGAATGGGAAAAAATGAAAATGGGACCAGAATTTGTGGAAGCTAAAGACAAGCTTTTGAATGCAGGGTAATAATTTGTGTATAATGTGTATAAAATGCATATGCAGTGCTGAGAAACAAAGCAAAAACTTAATTTTTTTTTTTTTTTTGTACTGTGCTCCCTAGTACTCAAAATGGATCTGTTCATTCCATTGATGGTATGGATGTGATTCAGTATCCGCCACCACCTCCATATGAAGACTCTTCGCCAAGCCCTCCTCCAGTTCCTGATGACTCTCTGCCACCTCCTCCCATGGACTTTAGGTAAGAATTAGGCTTTCAGTCACTGCAGGTCAAACCATGCAGGTGCGTTTTAAGTGCTGTGTAACAGTTTATAATTATTCCCTTACATTTTATAGTATGCCTCCATCTTCAAATCGTGCAAGCCTGGTTAGCCCTGCACATCCACCTCCAGCTCCACCCATTGGTTCCCCAATGGGGGGGCGACCAAGTTTCTCTCCTCCCCCTGCTCCTCCTCCCCCACCTCCTTCTGGTGTACTTCCTGACCCATCCTACCTTCCTCCCCCATCCCCACCTGCTTGTCCTTCTATCCCTGGATTTCCTGCTCCTCCCCCTCCTCCTGTTCCTACTCTAATGGATTATCCTCCCCCTTCTCCTCTCTCTCCTGCACCACCACCACCTGCAGGAGGCCCTCCACCCCCGCCCCCACCACCTCTTCCACCACCTCCACCAGGTCCTCCACCTCCTGGCCCTCCCCCCCCTTCTTCCTACATGAAACCTGAAGGAGAATCTTCATCAGCCAGTTTGAAGCCAAAAGCTGCTCCTGCACCTGTAAGCGATGCTCGGAGTGATCTTCTGTCAGCTATCCGTCAAGGTACTTTAAATTTTACCACTCTATGGGCTTTTATGCTTGCTCTTATGTTTTTATCCTCTTTACATTTTTATGAAATCTCTCTTCTGTTTCCACTTTGCTATCATACCAAAAACACATAAACTAATCTATTGTATCCTACCTCCACTTCCTGCACATTTCCCTTTCCACTGTGTGCCTCATAAAATGGTCCTGCCTCATTTTTCGCCTGTGGGTAATTTTTATTTTTTATTTTCCCTGTCTTTATCATTGCTGTCCCTTTTTCTTTTTAGGAATGAACAAAAGAATGAACTATTCTTTGTGCCATCAATGGTTGCATTCATTCTTGACATGCAGAAATATACTCCACTATTTCAGCTGTTATTACTCTCACTTTTTTTCATTATTAACACATGAAGTATGGTAGTTTCCAATACAGTCTTACCTATGCACCCCTACCACTCTTCTCTGACATTGTCTGCGTCCTCAGTTGCATCTTGTCTTTCCATCATGACCCATGTTGTCTTTATTTCTACCCTTTAGGTTTCCAGCTGCGTAAAGTGGAGGAGCAACTGGAGCATGAGAAGAAGGACATCGGAGGCAATGATGTGGCCACAATCCTTTCTCGACGCATTGCAGTGGAATACAGTGACTCAGAGGATGACTCTTCTGAATTTGATGAGGATGATTGGTCTGATTGAGGATGGGGATGGAAATGCACTGTTTGTAACTGATGACAAAATGGGATAATGCAGCTATGGGTTAGAAGTGAGATTTGGGATTTGCAAATCAATTGGAGGCTTAAATATTATATCTGATATTGTCACCATATGTTTATTGTTTTGGGGTGCATACCATAAATAGGTGAATTTTCAACAAACAGGTGCCCTTTGTCTAATGACGTTCAGCATTGGGGCATTAAAACATTCCTAAATAAATCATAACGACATTTTAATTTGTGTATTCCCTCTCTGCCCCTCTCTGACTTCCTGGAGGTCTAGCAGTAATTCCATAGCATACAAGAAAACATACCCAGTTGTTAGTGACGAAGGTTATATACTTTTAGTTTTATTACAGTTTTGGCCTACAGATTGAAAAATAATGAAATAATCTGAGAATGAGAACAATACCACTCTGTGCCTTGATTTGCCTTCAGCCGTTTTCAGGAACCAGTTCACTATAAACACAACTAGCTTATTTAAATATCCAGTTTAAATGGAAAACCACTAGTTACACTTCCGTATATTATAATCATTAAATAATGTTCAGAAGTATTGTGATTAGAGGAACGCAATATTTATGTTCAAAAGTGAGACAAAATTTTTATATATGGCTATCTGTATAAAGTATACATACTTTATACACACGGAACAACAGTGTATTTGTGTAACTAGTGCTGCCTTAGTGTTTGTCAACTTGATAATTAGACATTTGAAATTCTGGTGCATGATATAGATGAGTTAACATACAGAACCTGCACTCTTATGTGTATTTCTTGGGAAAGTGCCACCCTGTGGTATTTTTTTACATATATTCGCTGTTTCAGATTGACATACATTTATTTACAGTGACATTTCTTTTGTGTCCTCATGTGAAATCTAATAAAATAGTTTTTTTTAATAACTGATCAGGTGAGTTAGAAAATAGTTTTACAACATTTATGCATTCCAGTGCTTAACAAATACACACAATAATAACATGGGTTGACGGTTAGTTTTGCTGAAAAGCAAGTCTGTCTAAATCTATTAAAACGTAGTCTATGCAAAAAAAAAAAAAACCAAACCTTTTAACAATTCCACTTTTTTTTGTGTGTGTTTGTTGATATATGCATATCACACATGCAAAACTACAATACACTGTTAATTGAAAAAGAATATGCTTTAAAAAGGTTTTTTGCGGGGACAATATAAGCACCTAAACAACGTTAACTTAACAAAGTGGATTTGGTGTATAGGCCCGGCCCATGTAATCTAACTGCTCAATTCTCTTGTCACACCTTCCCTGCAAGTGACCCCATAGTCTTCCCACAAATTTCCTGTAAACAGAGATCTAATGTTTAAACTTACTTTTACACAGTCTGTTTATTTCAGAATGTATCCTGCTCCTGCTCAGTAATAGCCTCCTAGAACCTGCAGGAGCCTCCTGTGTGTTTTTTAAAGTTCAGTTAACCGAAAGGAAATAAAGTAAACACACCGTGCTGTCACATCTGATTGATAAAAATAAAACATTCATGTAGACTGTGTAAATTATAGCCCGGGAGGTGTAGCCAGGGCTGCATACACCGTAACAAAAGTGATTTAACTCCTAAATGGCGGAGGTTTCAACCATGAGACTGCAGGGGCCTGATCTATGCACGAAGACTGCTTTATAAAGCTAAAGTTGCATTGGTGCCTAGAGTGTATCCCTTTAAGTTGGTTAATATATTGAAATAAGTGCCTTAATAGAGCAATGTTTGGTATCAAGTGCCATATTTAGAGTTGAAAATACTGCAATGTTTGCTTGACATTTATAAAGTGCTTTTGAGTGATTTTTTTGCTATAAATATTTACGGAAAACGGTTATATATATATATATATATATTCTGTATGAATACACTCTTTAAAATCTTTATATAAAGACTTAAATTACCTATATTTTGTGTTTGTCATTCATTGGCAATATATTAATTCCGTCTACAAATGTTGTGTCATATCTCTCCCTAACCATACAGAAAACAGTTACTGTGACTTTGTACCCCATCATTTTGGCTTTTCTTCACGTGGGTACTTGACTGCCATTTTTTCTATTTCTGTCACATTTTTACCTTGTGTTAGATGAAAAAGCTTAAACCTCTGTATTGTCTGGTTTTGCCACCCTCTCATGGGGCAAAAACATCAATGAGAAAAGCTTTTGTCAATAGCAATTGACTTGTCTTGCTTTTGAGTAGAGGGCTATTTCAGAGCTATAGTATACATTAAAGTCACCTAACAGTTTATCTTATGCAATGTTGAAATATTACATTGGTGTGGCTTATTAATTTTTTATTTTGTAGAATTTTGAAGTTTTATAAAAACATAATATACATTCAAGGCATGCTTCAAGCATATCTTTTTGTTGGTAGCCTAAAACAAATATACAGTGTATAAAAAGGTACAACATTCATACATTTGTGTTTTTGTCCAGTACTCTCGGGTGCCATACATAGATCTTTTTTATTTTTTATTTATTTTTTAATCTCCTCCTTTTATCTTTATTGTTCATACAGGAAATGCAATGGATATTTAGACTGGGTGTTAACACCCCATGGTCTAAATGTCAACTTCGAACTAACACATTTCTTGGATTAAACCAAATCCTTTTTTTTTTTTTTCATTTCATTTTCCATTTTTTACATAGAGAATTTTACAATGAATAACTAGATTTTTAATTGTACACTCCTACTAGCTTATAGAACCCCTTGAAACACATTTTTATTATGTTCAATTTATAAAAGGGTGTATATCTTTAAGAGTAAAAATAGCATTTAATACTAAGTGGATTTAGGTTTTTATAGTGTAATATATAAGATTCAGACTATCGCAGAATTAATTTTAATCTTATGTCCAAACAATCACTGGAAACAGTAGTACTCCTTTAAGGGATCGATGTAAATTCCTATAACGATCATTAATGTGATAATAGAAACATGGACATATAGGTATGCAGCATTTGAATCATTTAAATGTTGCCACATGTAGACATACTGATGTGTGAACATAATTTCAAAAAGAAAGATTTGTATAAAATGTTACTATGAAATTAGGCACTTCCAAATGTATTAGATGCAGCTGGCAATGTTTCAGGCCACCAATCATCATGAGAAGGGGGTGGTATGAAATCCTAACCGGCACACATCATACACAGACTTTGAGAAAGCCCACACAGGCTGAAACGCGTAAGTCACGTGGTGCCGCAATAGTTATGTGTATGGCCTTCCGAGAGGAGGAGGATCGAGCCAGAGCCCCAGTGGAATGGTGAGCTTGGTGGAGATTATCGAAGAACATGTAGAACTGTGAGCCATTAATACTATTTTTTTAATGAGTTGGAATTGGAAGTTCTTTTAAGCAATAAAGTCCTAGAGACGGTGTTGAGGTGATTAGTTTTTCTGTGACACTGTGGGGCTAGTTCAAGTCCCAGAACCAGGATACAATAATCCAGATTAGAACTAGTCATATTACATGAGTTACCACAGGGGCTTGATTAAGAGACCCCTAAAAAGGAGAGAGCTCCACATAGGGTGTACTCGGTGGAGTTTTTTTACCAGGTGATGGTACACCCCCAGGAGTGCTGGAGGACAACGATGGAGATTATTCTTTTTATATTCTTGGACTGGGTTATTTTGGATTGAGGAAATTATTTGTGAAATATGGACAGCGTTGATCTATATTAGAGGAACATAAGATTTACATAATTTTTTTTCTTTTATGGAGCGTCATTCTCAACAAGTGTTATAGGAATTGTCATTATTTTCTATGTTGGTGCACAAACTCTTTCTTTAACAGTTTTACTACTGTGTATTAAAATACCTCGAGGTGGATACCTTTCAAAGAAGCGCCTACTTGTCTAAAGAGGAAAGATGGTAAACAGAGTGTAAAAAAGGCAGGAAGAATGGATCTTGGGAGGAAGAAGTGAGAAAAAGAATTTAAAAAAAAAAAGTGTGGGAGGGGGGAGAGGTAGTAGTCCTGTGTGGGTAGTAGGGTTTAGTCAGGAAGCTGTATAGGGGTGCAGTGTGCATGGAAAAGGAAGGGGGCCACCCATTCCGAGCCCCCTCAAGTCAGCAATGGATATTAAAAAAATTAAAGCGTCCCAAATTTTTGTTGAAATCTTTTGCAGTATCATGGATTATAGCAAAAAGTTTGTCAATCTTCATGGCCTCGTTCACTTTTCTTTTAACAACATCTAAGGAAGGGATGTCGGAGCAGCCCCATTTTTCAGCCACTGTGCATCTGGTGTGACATTTTTAAATCTGGAAATGTAGAGCATGTTTTTATCTAAATTTATTTAGCTAGTTAAAGGGTTACTCCAGCCATTTGTTGAACTTTTTTTTTTTTTTTTTTCTAGTTGAATTTTACCTATTTGTGTCTTGGTCCACTTGCTTCCCATCCATAAAAAAAAAGCTGTAAATTATGATTAGAACATGCCTTTAATGCAGCGCTGAGCAATGTTTTCCATGATCCTTTCCACTCCACATCTGTCGTCATGCCATGTCACTGCTTAGTTCTCAGAGGTCCATTCAAATGTTAAAATAGAAAAACATTGTTGGCCCTTGGGCAGCGAGTGCCGCAAATGCCACGGACAAAGGATGAACTAAATTTTTTTGTGGCGAAAACCCTAAAGGGTTTGTGTGAGAAGTCTTTGTGCCCTATAGTTTTCATTAGATGTACTGTGCTTTGCCTGGAAAAGATCTATAGGCCTTCTCTAATAGCGGTTAAATGTGATCAGGTGTGTTCCTTTTACATTTCAGGCACATTAAAGGACTACATAATTATACCCGTTTATAACACAATCCACTTGACAGGCATTTCCTCATTCACTAAAAAGAGAGAACCTTCACAGGCTATTTTATGTTGTGATATGTTGCAGGTGGATGGGCTACAAAAAGTTTGTGGTTTTTCTGGGCCTCTTTAACCATGATGGGGGTAAACTTTGCTATATCTGCAGTGCAATGCTCCCTGTCCTAGATACTATGTATATTTGTATTGTAATTTGCAGCTATATATATGCCTATGAGTGTCATGTATTTCATAAGCTTAAAGGAACACTCCAGGCACCAAAACATGTTCATTCTTACCTCAAGAGGGTTAAGCCATTCTCAAGCAGTTTAATTAGTAAGTTGTCTCCAATAGTGATGACCACTCTTTCCCCCGCTGTCAACCCCTAAGGCGGCATCTGGCTTCTGAATTTTCAGTTTCAGGAAGCGTAGAGTGCCGACGGGCAGGGGTGCCGCTGAATGGCGGAAAGCTGTCTTCATTAACTAAACTGCCTTGAGAAAAGTATGTTTATTTCCAAGCCAGTTATGTGAATGGGGAGTCACTGAATGGCTGGCCGCTCACAGCAAATCATCGATGCCCCTGCCCTGCAGCACACAGTAAGAGTGCATCCTGGCACCATAACAACTTCATTTAGATGAAGTTGTTCCCTTCGTATTTACACATGTCTTGCTTAATGTCTATATTTTGCCCATGCATGAGAACCACTATTCTCTCTTGCAGGGCCTTTTCAACTGGCCAGCCCTTTTCTCCAACTTTTAGACTGATAAACAGAGGACTTGTTGTATTGTTACCATAGTGTTTTTCCTGTGATAGTCAGATAAGCACTTTTCTGCCCTCTGCTGGTTTCTTTTTTTAACTGCAGGTCAGTTTTTTTTATTTTTTTCCTAATCTCACAGGGTTATTTAGTAAAAGTGAGAATTCAAAGTGTATTTCAAAATTAAGGCCAGAGTAGCTGAAATGAAAGCATACAGTGAGGGGAAAAAAGTATTTAATCCCCTGCTGATTTTGAACGTTTGTCCACTGACATAGAAATGACTAGCCTATAATTTTAATGGTAGGTGTATTTGAACAGTGAGAAACAGAATAACAAAAAAAATCCAGAAAAATGCATGTCAAAAAAGTTATAAATTGATTTGCATGTAAATGAGTGAAATAAGTATTCGATCCCCTATCAATCAGCAAGATTGGGCCCAGCTACAGACACCAGACACGAGAGACAGGAGAACTGCAGACCAGATCAGAATCACTTCCTATTGCTGCTCCATTTGATTAAAGGGTTTTCTTTTGAACATCTTTTCCTCCACAAGCAATTGGACACCTACTGCTAGTGAACAGATTTTCCATACCTACAGCAAAAATAATCTGTGGTGAGATCCAACCAATTTTTTCATCATCTAATCAGTGCACTTTTTTTACAGCCTTTTGAACTTTTCAGTTTTCATATTTGTCATTTTTTCTTTTTTTTCAGCCAGTTTTTCCATTCTTCTCATTTTTTTCTTATTTTTTAAAGGATCACTATAGTGTCAGGAAAACAAAGCGGTTTTCCTGACACTAGAGTGCCCTGAGGCAGCTTACCTTATTTCAGCGCCGGGCTCCCTCGGCGTTGGTGACCTCTCCTCCCCATGCTGACTTCGGCGCCCCCGTCCTACGTCAGCGGAGCCGAATGCACATGCGCGGCAAGTGCCGCACGCGCCTTCAAAATGTCCATAGGAAATGCTTTCCTATGAAAGCTCTGCATGATGCAGGCATAATATGCCTCCAGCGTCGCAGATGCGGCTCTAGTGGCTGTCTTCTGGAGGCTGGCTTAACCCCAAATGTAAACATAGCAGTTTCTCTGAAAAAAAACCTCAGGTTAAAACCTGAAGGATCTGGCACCCAGACCACTTCATTGAGCTGAAGTGGTCTGGATGACTATAGTGTCCCTTTAAGTTTGTTTAATTTATTGTCTTTTTTCTCAATAGAACAGCAATCAAGTGGTGGATCCACCTGAATATTTATGAACTTTCAGCTTCATGCATATGATGTTCATGGACTGTATATAGTTGTAAATAGTCTGGGATGTATATATTATGAAATTTTGTTATGTATCATAGATGAATTTATAGAGAGATCATCAATTTTAATATTTTCGTAACAGTGGTCTTTTTTTCTACTTTCATGAATTTGGTGTATTTAGTGTATAATGAATTTTTGCATATTTACACAGTGATTCTATTTTCTCATGCATATTATATGCATTTGAGTGCGGTATTAATCTATTTTTTTGTATATTTAATTGAGGTCATTTGGGGGAATACCTCCAATACCTGTAGCATCACGTAATTGAGTGCCAACACAATCAATATTGATCCATCAAAAATAAACCCTATGTTGTTGTTGTTTTTACTATTTGCATCTATTCTGCAGTGCTTTGTAATATTACAAAGGGGAATTTAACAACAAACCTTTACACATTTGACAAGAATGACTATTATTTTTCTGGAAACAGCCCTGCTAATTATCTGGCTCAGTTATCACTCTTTTGAAGATTGAAGCATCTACTTTCAATGTTTGCATGATATGTAGATAAATCGCAATATATTTTACTCCCCGAACCTCTGATTTGGCCAGGGAATAATTGTCATTGACTTGGCACTTTGCACACTTTACTGAAGCAGACAAAGCGTCCTATTGAGTGATGCATTTATATGCAGGAAGAAAGAAGATTTCATCTAAGGCAAAGGAAAGGTTTTTTTACTGTAAGAACAATCAGGATGTGGAATTCTCTGCCTGAAGAAGTGGTTTTATCAGAGTCCATACAGATGTTCAAACGTCTTCTAGATGCATACTTGCAAGAACAGAATATACAAGGATATACTCTTTCAATATAGGGTAATAACTGCTTGATCCAAGGATAAATCTGACTGCCATTCTGGGGTCAAGAAGGAATTTTTTTCCTAGCTTGTTGCAAAATTGTGCTTCAAACTGGTTTTTTTTTTTTTTGCCGCCTTTTGGATCAACAGCAAAAAACAAATGTGAGGTAGGCTGAACTTGATGGATGCAAGTCTCTATTCAGCTATGTAACTATGTAACTTTATATTTAATTTCTACTCTTCTGAGCAAAGGTTTACTTTGCCAACTCCCAGCTTTTAGTCACTAGTCTTTCTGTTTAACACTTCATGCATACAGGTCCTGAAGAGGTATCAAGGTCTTAGAAGCTTCAGGATGGAATCTTTTGTCCGATTATTTCTGTAGCTCAGTCTCTAAAACTGATAAAGGATTCCAGCAATATAGTTGGTAGTTAAATGTCAAAAAGGGTCGGTTCTTTCTTTCTCAGTAAATTCTCTCTGGGAGCATTGTTCAATAGCTAGACATAGTCTGCCTTTCTTTATTGACAGAGCATGTTTACTGGACAGGATCATTGAACTATTATCCAAAAACTTTATCACCACAAGCAATTTAACCTGCCTTCATACAAGAATCTATGGCTGTAGATTTGCAAATCCCTGTTGCAGAAGCTTTACAACAAATTGATGATTGGTTAACACAGGATAAAGTGCTACAGCAAGTAAATAAAATTAATGTAAACAAAACCTTAGGGCCAGAAAGCATTCACAAATGAAAAACTTAAAGAATTGAGTGTAGAAATAGCATTTTTTTCCTTTCAGGAATGATACCAGAGAATTGGAGAAAATCAGAGGCCGTGCACATATTTTAAAAAATCCTTCAAAAGCTCCAACCAGAAACTGCAGACCTGTGAGCTTATGAACGTCCTAATGTTTTGGTGTAAGCAGGGATCATTAAAGGATATTTGGGTGTCACAGCAAGGGTGCATAATTTATTATGGCACTATGGAATATTGTACTTCAATGTAATTTCTGACCTACCGCAGCGATGGTATTGTGCATGTCAAAAGTGGTAAATTTTATTGTAGAGGTTAGATCTTTTGAAGCCAAGACCCCACACTGAGGTCAGATGACAGAAGGGGTAGTTTGAATGACCTAGGAATGTGAAAAGGATTTTACCATATGGATGTGAATTAATCAAGGTGTGAGGTTCTACACTTGGAAAAAGTCTGAATGTCTCTTCATTCATTTGGCATGTACCTTGTATTTGATGAGGCAATATGTTAATGGCCATTAGCCTTGTTCCAGTATCATATCCAAAGGAAGGAAAAAAATATTCATATTTACCCCACAGATGAATAATTAAGCCTCATTTTTGTTATATTTGGAAAGTGACAAGCGCTATCTTCTAAACAAGCCCAAACATGAGGGGCATGGCCTGACCATGGGGGAGGGAATTGTGATGTCAGTCATGTTGGGTCGCGAGTAAGGAATGTGACATGTCTTTCGATTGGGAAAATAACGAATTCATAGATGCAATTATTATTTCTGTGGCAGGTACATAAGAGAATATTTAGCTAAATGTTTCAATTTGGATTGAGGTTGGTCTGGAACAAAAGAGGTGGTCTCTTATTTCTATAGGTACGCCTTAACTCCACCCCTGGGCAAGACTTGATAATCCACAGGGTATATATCCAATGATTTGGAGGGGTGTTTGTGTACTTGTTTGGGGCCAAGATCTAATTTTTAGTGAGTCCCCATCATCCTTCCTTGCCAGAGAATCCTGGGCAGAAGTTTCACTTTGAAAACCTAAGTGAGTAATAAGGACTTCTGTTATTTTATCCTTTTTGTTTTTAATCTGTTGTTGGTGTAACTCATTTGGTTTTTCATCTATATTTTTGTATGCACTGTGACTATTTTTTGCTCATAATAAACATTAATTTACTAAGTTCTGCCTTTGTCTGGTTAAGAATCACGTTACCTGAAGAGACTAATTAGTATTTTGCAATTACATAGATTTTGTGGTAAGTAATATTTGGTGGGTTTTTATTATTGATTTACCTGGAGGGACCAAGGCACCCCATTTATAAATTGTCTTGGTGGTGGCAGCGTTAAAATAGTAATAGTTATGTTTAAGTGTGCGTGGTGTTAAGATGGATTTTGTCATTATTTCTGGTCTAGTGCAGACAAATAGTGAACTTTCACCACCACAACTACGTCACACACACTCTTGGAGTAGGGTGCATTTGTGACACTGGGTACCTGGATTTCGGTCAGCTGGGGTAATTTTAGTTGCCCTAGATTGTCAAATGAACTGTATGTAGCGCTTATATGGCCCTTAAAATTTATTTGAATCTCCACAGCTGAGTGATTGCGCTCAGCTACTGTGTTTCTGTTGGAGACACCCAGGTTATGAAAATATCCTGACAAAATCTTCCTGCATGCCTCTCTGCCAATTGTGATTGACGCTGTGCTTTGCCAGCTGCCCAGCACAGATCAGTGTAATTGGTAGGGGTTGCATGCCAGAGCTGCAGCAGGAGAGGGAGATCGCCCTTTCATGCAACAGTCACAAAGCAGAGGGTGCTGGAAAAACAATCTTATCCTTCTGAGTTGGCTTTATTGCCGTCACATTCTATGTTTCTATTGAGAGGGTAGTGGATGCATGGAATAGCCTTCCAGCTGAAGTGGTAGAGGTTAACACAGTAAAGGAGTTTAAGCATGCGTGGGATAGGCATAAGGCTATCCTAACTATAAGATAAGGCTAGGAACTAATGAAAGTATTTAGAAAATTGGGCAGACTAGATGGGCCGAATAGTTCTTATCTGCCGTCACATTCTATGTTTCTATTGGAAGTAGGTTTAATGATTTGTTGGGGATAGTGTAGAATTAAGGGGACACTCTAGGCACCCAGACCATCTGCAGTAATTTAAAATCAACAACCATACACAACCTTTTCATCTCAAACTCACTCACACTGCTTGCACTTACAGAGACCTGGCTGTCCCCCTCTAATAGCGCTACTCCTGCCACTTTGTTTTGGTGGGCTACAATTCTCTCACACTCCCAGACTCAACTGTAAAGGAGGCAATATACCTTTCAACCAATCATAACTCCCCCTGTCCTATCCTTTTCTTCATTTGAAGTTCACACTGTCCGCCTATTTAAACCCACTCCTTTAAGAATTGCTATCATCTACCGCCTAGACTATTCATTGAACACTTTTCTTCCTGGCTTCCCCACTTACTCTCATCTAGCACTCCTTCCCTTATACTTGGGGATTTCAATATCCCAATCAACAACCCCAATTGCACTGATGCCTCTCGTCTGCTCTCTGTAACCTCCTCCTTTGGCCTTACGCAATGGTCCAGTTTTGCAACCCATACAGCGGGAAACACTCTTGATCTTGCCTTCACCAACCTCTGTACTGCCTCTAATCTCTCCAATACTCATTTTCCTCTATCTGACCACCATCTGCTGACTTTTGACATTGGCATACCTAAGACCCAATTGACACCACCATCTGAACATCACTCTCACAGAAACCTCCAATGTCTTGACCTAGAGTATTTCTCCACTAATCTCCAAACTCTCCTTTTACCTATCTCAAACCTCACCTGTCCTAGTTCTGCAACCTCCTTCTACAATTCCACCCTCTCCTCTCAACTAGACATCATGGCATGGCACCTTGTACATTTAAACACCGCAGGCGCCCCCATCAACAACCCTGGCACACCAAGCTTACTCAATACCTCCAAAAATGCGCCAGAACTGTTGAACGCTGTTGGAGAAAGTCTCACTCTGCATCTGACTTTCTCCACTATAAATTTATGCTGAGCTCATACAGCTTGGCTCTTTCCTCTGCAAAAGTTAATTACTTCAATACCCTCATAACCACACTCTCCCGCAAACCCAAACGACTATTTCACACATTTAACTCGCTTCTTCGCTATGCTGTTCCTCCTCCACCTACTAACTTGACCGCCTCAGACTTTGCAACTTACTTCACTGACAAGATCTCTACAATCAGAGAAGAGATCTCTCATCTTTCTTCTTCCCCTTACAATACTTCCCCTAACTTCACTCCCTCTGCTGTTCTATGTTTATTCGCACCTGCTACATTGGAAGAGGTTTCTGCTCTGCTCCAGTCCACCCGCCCCACCACCTGCTCCCTAGATCCAATTCCCTCGCATCTCATCCGTACTCTGTCTTCTTCTCTTTCCTCACCTCTCACTAAAATTCTCAATCTCTCTCTCCCCTCTGGTATATTTCCATCGCCCTTCAAACATGCAACTGTAACCCCAATTCTAAAGAAGCCCAATCTTGACCCTAACTCCCCATACAACTATCGTCCTATCTCGCTATTGCCTTTTGCATCCAAGATCCTTGAAAGAATTGTGTATGCGAGATTGACAGACTTCCTCGAGTCCAACTCTCTGCTAGACCCACTTCAGTCTATTTTCCGCGCTAAGCACTCTGTGGAAACGGCACTGACCAAAGTATCCAATGATCTACTCGCTGCAAAATCTCATGGTCACTGCTCTTTCCTAATTCTACTTGACCTGTCTTCGGCATTTGACACTGTTGATCATCAACAGCTTCTTCTCATCCTCCGCAATATCGGTTACAAGATATTGCTCTCTCCTGGTGCTCCTCCTACCTCTCCCAGCGCTCTTTCAGTGTTTCTTTCTCTGGCTCTGCTTCTACTCCCCAACTCCTCTCTGTTGGTGTCCCCCAAGGTTCAGTCCTTGGTCCCCTACTGTACTCCATCTATACTGCCTCCCTTGGTAAACTCATTAGCTCCTTTGGCTTCCAATATAATTTGTATGCAGATGACACGCAAATTTACCTGTCCTCTCCTGATCTCTCCCTGTCCCTCTTGACTAGTGTCTCTGACTGCCTCTCTGCTATTTCTAATTGGATGGCTGCCCACTTCCTTAAACCAAACTTGACCAAAACTGAAATTCTGGTCTTGCCTCCCTCAAGTGTTGTTACTCCTGTGTCTGTCTCCCTCCAAGTCAACGGTGCTACCATCAGCTCCACCACGCAGGCTCGCTGCCTAGGTGTTCTCTTTGACTCCAACCTCTACTTCAAGCATCATGTTCAATCTTACACCAAATCCTGTCATTTCCATCTCAAAAACATTGCACGCATCCGCCCCTACTTAACGCCAGATGCGACTAAGGTGTTGGTCCATTCCACTGTCCTTCCTCATTTTGACTACTGTAATCTGCTTCTCAGTGGTCTTACGTGCTCCCAACTTGCGCCGTTACAGTCCATAATGAATGCGGCAGTGAGACTCATCTTCCTGTCCGCCCGCACCTCATATGCCTCACCCTTCTGTCAGTCCCTACATTGGCTTCCTATAAAATATAGAGCTCAATTTAAAATTCTGGTTCTTGCTTTCAAATCTCTACATAATGCTGCTCCCACCTATCTATCCTCCCTTATACACAAGTATGTCCCGTCTAGGCCCTAACGATCTGCTGAAGACTTACGTCTATCTTCTGTCCATACTCCCACCTCTGATGCTCGCCTTCAAGATTTCTCGAGGGCTGCACCGTTCCTGTGGAACTTGCTTCCCTCCTCCGTTAGATGCTCACCCAGTCTCCACTCCTTCAAAAAATCGTTAAAAACCCACTTCTTCATAAAAGTGTATCAATTAAACTGTTAATAGCTCCTTACTGATTCCTCTTCTGCAACTGTCATTAGTCTAATACTATCCTTACCTTTTTGTGTCATTTTACCCCACTCCCTCTAGCATGTAAGCTCATTGAGCAGGGCCCTCAACCCCTCTGTTCCTGTGTGTCCAACTTGTCTGGTTACAACTACATGTCTGTTCGTCCACCCATTGTAAAGTGCTGCGGAATTTAATGGCGCTATATAAATATCATAATAATAATAATAATTGAAGTGGTCTGGATGCATTGTCCCTTTTGCACTAGTGCTGCAATGTAAAACCTCTCCCTCGGGTGGCTTTCTTCCAGACAGCGACTGGGGGGTGCTTCCTGGATCAAAACAAACTTTTTGAGGACATCTAGTGTCAGATTTTTTTCCCCATAAGAATGTGCGCGCATTAGACCTCACCATAAAAAAAGCATTAATTCAATGTTTTCCTATGGGGGTGCCAGGGAGGGGGGAGGCAGGGGAGCAATAGTGCCAAGAATACAGTTTTGTATTACTGGCACTATAGTATCCCTTGAACCCCTTAAGGACACATGACATATGTGACATGTCATGATTCCCTTTTATTCCAGAAATTTGGTCCTTAAGGGGTTAAGGTTGGGGCTGAGGTTAGGGTAGGTATATGATTCGAGTTAGTGCTAATGGATATTGAACAATATGCTTTGATGTGCCTTGATCATCTTAATGACCATACCAAATACCAAATTCTTGAATGGGATCCAACTGTGCATTATATCTCACAACTGAAAACAACCCCAGCAGTGGAGAATGGGATTATTACAAAGGATGAATATAAATATATTTTACCACACCATATGCCCACCATAGCCACTTTTTATTGTCTCCCAAAAATACATAAAAATCATTCGCAACCGCCAGAGAGACCCTTAGTCTCTGGTGATGGGTCCCTGACCGAGAGAGCAAGTAAATATGTTGAATTGCTATGACATCCATTTGTAATAAAATTGGAATCCTACCTCCAGGATACCAAGCACAATCTTTTGATTCTTGAAAATGTGGTCATGCCCCTTTACTGTCAGCTAGTCAGTCTTGACGTAGTGTCACTTTATAATAATCCACACAAAAAAGGATTAGATGCAACAGAATACTTCCTTAATAAGACTTTAACATATTCTACAGATACAAAAAGGTTTATACTTACATTGTTGGAATTCAACATGACCCATCATTTTTTTTTTTGTATTTTGTTTCAAGTACTACCTTCA